TCTTTCTGTAATTTTTATTATTATTTGCTTAATATTTGGTGACATAACTAGCATACACACGTTAAAATTGTTCCAAAACTGAATGAGTATGCAAGAATAATAAAATGTCAACAATTATTATCAGTGAAGTAATAAATCAATGTTAAATGAACTTAAAAAAATCAATAAGTTTCGATCAAGGTAATATTTTCTATACATATACAAGAACTATTAATGACCATATATTACAATGAATAAATATTTTCAAGATTAATATCAATATCAACAATACCTTTGTCGCAAACTTGTCGGGATAAGTAGTTGATGAACTCAAATGAAATACAAGAGAAAATTGAGAAAAAATAAGGGGAATAATAAATAAATAAATAAATAAAATAAAATTAAGATTAAAAATGAATAAAAATAGAAATAAAAAAAGTAAAAATAAAGCTAAATAAGAAAAAATAATAAAAATATATTGATAAAAAAATGAACTGAGAAGGAAATAATTAAATAAACAAATAAAGAAAAAACTAGAAACATAGGGCAAAAAGATTAAACAAGGATCGTCAGAAACATAAAAAGAAAAATGGGTATATCCACCTATATTGCTATTAGTTTCCATTCAATCCATCGTTAGACATGCCACATGTCAATCTAATTCTCACTTTATTAAGTCTTGCTTCACTACTTTTTCTCAAGTAAGTTTCTATCAACATCTTCCTCTCTTCATGTCAAGCTCTTGCAAATAAACTTTTGTTACGATAGCATATATGGGTCTTCATATTATATGCCTAAATTATTTCAAGAGTAAAGCTCATTTTAGTTCCCTAACAAAAAATATGGTTCATACTTTCGTCCTTTACAAAAAAACAACAACTTGTAGTCCTTCTATAATTTCAGTTTTTTGAAAATATGGTCCCTCAGAAATTCAATGAAGACCCAATTTAGTCCCTAAAAAAGGACTAATATGATTTTTTTTGTAAAGGACGAAAGTGGGCATAATGTCTTTTGTTAGGGACCCAAAATGAGATTTACTCTTATTTCAATCTATGTGCTCATATTTTTCATTTCATTTAATATCTTTATTTTTTATTTTATTTATCCTTATATAACCACACATCCACATTAACATCCTTATTAGCGTTACTCTCATTTTATGCTCGTGTTGCATACATGTTGGTCAACATTCAGCTCTATATAACACTACGTGGCTTATTGTTGTTTTATAGAACTTTTCATTTAGTCTTGGAGAAATGTTGCATTAACACAAAAATCCAGATGCATTGCGTCATTTCATCCAACTTACTTTGATTCTATGATTTACATCATTATCAACCTCTTTACCTCTTTCAACTTTTTCTTCCTCTTTCATCCTTTTCATTCCCACAATTCGCCATTTTTCTTGCGTGCAAAACTACTATAACCTTTCCAAAGGTTTGCCCTTGCCTATACTTGTTTCTATAGGAGCATTTGCATCTGCAGAAGCATTTTAGACCATTGCGCTTTGAGATACAAAGGATCATCGTTGTTTTACTGATTTACCTATTGATGCGCAGATCTCGTGCAGAATCTCCTCATGTACGATTCCTCTTCACGAACTGCTCACATTAGCGCCACAACACGAACAAACTCCTTGAGGCTAGACAGTGGCAGATCTTCCAAACTATCTCTCGAGGGGGAAGGGGAAGTATGTGGGACTTTTTAGATCTGAGCTTACCTCGTATGTTAAATTACCTTGAAGGCTGATGACTTAAATGTTAGTATTTATAAGAGTTTCAAGAAACCTAGCCCTAAGCTCATTGGACTCTAGGTTTCTTGGACTCTTCTAATACATTTAGCCCATTTGGGCTTTTAGTAAAAGAGCACAAACCCAACAATCTCTCACTTGCTCTTCTAGGTACAAACTTGAGTCCAAAACCCAAGACCATGTAACCCATAATTCATCATTGACTAAAAAAACCCCTTATCCCTTGTCTCAAGCTAGCCTGGGGATCTACCGTATGTTATTAATCAAGACTCCTGATAATCAACGAATGATTATCTAATTCAGTGCTACTCAACTAAAAGCCCGAACTTGAACTCCAAGATTAATAACATGTATAACATGAATATGCATTTCCCTTTTAGAATGTCTATAATTGATTGACAAGTTTTTTGTAACTCTATCAATTATTTATTCCCTTGAGTGTGATAATTTCTCTAATGGATTACTTCATTGGCCAATGTCTTCAATATCCAAGTACCAAACCATATCAATGGGACATATTATACAAATTTCATGTTGTTTATCTCATAAATACAAATAATCAAATAATCTCACTCTCAAAATACCGAGTTATTGGTCTTCAATAGATCGAACCTCACCTGTTGGTAAATTAAAGAATAAAAACTATTTGATTATCTATTTAAAATAAACTCAGGATTAAGAGCAATCACATAACTATAGTTATCTGGAGATTTGATACATTATGGCAGAAAAGCAACCTTAATCAAATCCCTTATTGATCCTTTCAATGTTAATGTTAATTCACACCAATATTTTACAATGATTCGGACAAAATTATTTCATAAAATATTGCAGCCTAAATAAAGCACCTAACTTTATTTAACAACTGTGAACCAGTTCATCAATCATGAGAACCTATGATCATGTCCTCTATGAACGTATCCAAGTGATCATATACTCCACAATTGATTCGGACCTTAATGTTTGTAATTTTGTGCACTAATCAATGAATAATACATCATTTGTAAAATTCATAAAATAATTACATTGTTTCATTGTCTTACTCCAAGAGGACAATGAACACAATATCTCCCACTCGCTTAATGCATGTTTGTGATCCTCCAAGATCCAAGGAAGTAACATGTCTCTTGAACATAAGTTCAAGCAAATTCTTAGTAACTGGGTCTGTAAGATCCACCTCTAATGTTTTCCTAGTTTAGTGGGAAAAAACTCATAGCTCGAGATCGATTTTCTTGAGTCAATATCCAATTGAAAAATTGAATTTGTGAAAGTTTAGCTTTTTAAGACTCCCACTAGAATTTATCATCATATATTGTCTCATTCTCTAAAGATACTTGAGTACATGCTTAACTATAATCTAGTGTTCCTATAGGTCCAGAATGTACTGTCTCACTACTCCATCTATATGGCAGATGTATGGTTTAATGCCCAACATGTTATGCATGAGACTACCTATTACTAAAGCATAAGGTATTCTATTCATGCATTCTTCCTTCTCAGGAGTCTTTAGAGGTTACTCCTTAAGAAGATGAATTCCATGTTTGAGAGACATAAATCCCATCTTGGAATTACCATGTAAACTTTTTCGCAAGAGTTTCGTCAATGTAAGTCACCTAAAGTGATGCCAACAACTTATTCTTTCAATCTCATAAGAGTTTTATACCAAGAATATAATTGGCTACTTTAATACCAAAACACTAAGCAAACTCTTTTTGTGCTTGATATTACCTCCACGTTGTTTCCAATAAGAATCATATCTTCTACATAAAGTACCAGAAAAGATACTGCCTCCCGTTTGATCCTTCTACATAATGTACTATTTTACAATATTCTTTGGCTAATAATTCGAAATATCAATGGATGTGGGAAAGGTTTATTCGAGTTTTATTTATTGACGGGGCGAGATGAATAACAAAGTGTTTTTCCATACTTGAAGAGGCGAAGAAAGAATAGAGTGAAGGACTGGAGCTGTTTTTCTCAAATCTAAAGAGAAAAGGAAGGAAGAGAGGATGAGATTAAATATAGAAAAAAATTAAATTGATGTAACAGTTCCTCACATTATATTTGGAAATGAACTAGGTTTATTCAAGAAATATTCATTTTAAAAAATTCTAAAAATAGTTTGATTAGTTTTCTTAAAATATAAAATAAATGAATTTAAATACATATTAGGTTCGGTTGATAATTTTAAGCCATTAACTGTCTATTTGAATCTTATTTTAAACCATTGACCTAGTATTTATCAAAAAAAAAAAAACCATTGACCTATGGTCTATTTTTGAATTTTTTTTTGGTGATGGAATTTTTTGATTTATTTAAAAGTAAACATGTTGACATATTTAACAGTTTTAACAAAAAATAAGCCTTTAAATAAATTTTAGATCACTTCTGCAAAGCTAAATAAAAAAAAAACACGCGAACAACCGGTAAAACTCAAGCTTTACAAAGCCCTAATCGGGTTATATCTACATTCTTTAATAAGTATCCTCTTATGTTTAAAATTTCTAACTATAAATACAACAAAAGTCAACTAACAATGCAATAATCTTTTATAAATAAAAGGACAGCTTTTGGTGTGTTAATTTCATCTCTTGTATAATAATATTTACATCTTATTTTTATATAATTTTTTATATAGAAATGTTATATTTACAATTTTTTTTAAATGAGGTGGAGTAAGTTGAGTTTTTCAAACAAACCATCTGCTAAATATGTTTGGCCAGATCTGAAATTTTTATTTATATTTATTTTTAGTATAAAATGTCATCGGCTCAGAAGGTGAACAAGACGAGCTGAGTTTTCTAATCCACATTTAGAGACAGGACGAAACAGGATGAGCCAACTCATTTTTTGATTGACTTATGACAGGACGGACCACCTACTTTTCCACCTCCAACATGTATAACCCCTCTATGATAAGTATTAGTGTATCACCATAAAAAAATGTAAAGAAAAAATAAAAATTAAGAACCATATTCCTTATCCCTATGCACGAGCAAAGCATGAAAGAGAAGAAAATGTGGTGCCTATTTACTTACAAGTGTGAGACCTTACCTCACCGTGCCACTAATGCTTTCTTCGTCATTACACCTTACAGCATCTTTCTTATTTGTACAGCTAATAGTGCGATGTTGGTGGACAGTTTAATAATCCCTTAAAAAAATAAAACAAAAAAAACCATTTTCTTACTTTGCTTCCATTTCAAAATTTCAAAAAAAAAAAAAAACAAAAAAAAACCCCAACAAACAACACTCGAAAAGAAAATGACAGCAGTTGGGTATGTGTGTGTGTGTGTTAATTTTGCTGCACAAGATACTTCACTATCTTTTCCTTCAAGAGTTTCACCCTTCTTCATCTTCAAACCCTAGAAATTCTTAATCTTTAATCTCTCCTCAAACCAAAAATCACACACAAACCCACTCAGAGTTAGAGATAAAAGCAACCATCTTTTTACATTTGAAGTGTTTTCTCTCAGTGTTTTGAAATGGGTGCACCGAACGACTCATCCTGTGGGAATGGACCTTGACTCGGTTCTTCAGCATTGTTCCCAATGGGAAAGGGTGAAGAAGAACAGCAACCGTTGCCTCCCGGCGTGGCCTCCGCAGATCCGCCGCAGAATGCGGAGGCCCACTGTCGGTGCCGGTGTTCTCGGATTCGGAAACTCGTTGGTTTCAGATGCATTCTCGTACTTCTCTTTTCTGTTGCTGTGTTCCTCTCTGCTATGTTTTGGTTGCCCCCATTTCTTCGCTTCGCAGATCAGAAGAATCTGCATGCCGATTCTAGATTCAAAGGTGGGGTTTCTGGTTTTGGCCCCCTTCATTTTGATTTTTTTTGGTTTTGTGTGTAGCGGCATTGTTTCGTGGGTATAGATCTGTTTCTGTTTTTGGTGTTAAAAAGAATAAAAGTTTTGATTTTTTTGACAATTTGAGTGTGTTTGTTATTTGGGGGCATCTGAAAAAATGTGGGTGGGTGGGAATAAAGAACCGGGTGGTTTTAAATTTATTTTTCCTCGTTGTTTAAATGTTTAATTTAAGGTTTATGGCACCCCGTATTTATAATTTCGGTTCTCAAGTTGTTTGCTTGGGCGTTTTAAGTATTTAATGAGTCATTTGGATTTTTAATTATGGTAGTTTTGTTTATTAACAAATGGAAGAGGTTTAGATATTGTGGGGGAAAATAGATTGCTTTTCGGATCATGTTTTCTTCATTTAGGAAATTACTTTCCTTATACCTATTTTAAGTAACGTTTTGAGGTTTTTGATCTTGTAGACTTGCATTTTGAAAATGGTTTTGGGGCACAACGTTGGCTGGTCTGTACTGAACCTTACTTTGGCTCCATTTTTTTTTCGGATGAATGTATTTTTTACAAACTAGAGAATCAAACTTTGGGCGATACATTTTCATACTTTTGAGACGTTTGAAACCAGTCATGGCTGTAAATTACATACAAATATAAAAAGGTTCTCTATGTCAATGATGCCCATGAATAGAACAGTTTTCCTGTTTTAGGCTGTGACATGAGTCGGCTTACTAGTTTGTGTCCAGTGGTCTGTCATTTGTCCCATTGCCTATCCTAGCATTAGGCTTTGTCTAGCAAATTGGATTGGATATCATATGCATTGCTGTGAGTGAGTGGGAATATGACAATAACTTGATAGCTTTTTTCTTAGAAGGCCTGTAATCTTAAATTGTGAAGCTTTTGCTTGATGAGTGAAGTTTCATTACAATGGCCATAATATTACCGTGGTACTTTGACATCATTTTCCCAGCCACTAGCAGTCATTGCTACTCCATCCATTATGAACTTTGACCTCCTTGTGCAGCCATTGCACTCAACACATTCTTCACCATCGGAGATTTAGGATGTTCAACTGCCACAAAGATTTTCTTTCTATTGCAGGAATGTATAAATAGGTTATAAGTGATTACTTGAAGAACAATAAGAGCTTAAGGGGGGAATGAAATAGCAATTAGAAGTGGTGAAACCTTGAGGCACAAAAAAGAAGTTGTGGAGGTAGGGTCAGGGAAAATAAATCAACAAAGTTAAAAATGGAAATTTGTGGGCAATTTTGTTGTTTGGTTCAATATTGGGGCTGTTGGAAATTGGGACAGCTGTAATTCTAAATATATTTCCTTAATAATATACATTTTGCATTATATCTCTGCATAAGATGTTCTTCAAATGTCATTATTCAATTTCCCTTCCTTTAACAAAAATTATGTTCAGTATCTCCTCACATATTATCAGTTGAACTTCAACATGCTTTATAGAATTTTCCTCATGTTTATACACATCTATATGAAGATGAGCCTTGAAGCAACGGTAAAGTAATTCCTTTGTGATTGGAAGGTCACTTGTTTGAGTTTGGGAGACAGTCTCTTTGCCAAGATGCAAATGTAAGGCTGCTTACAATCAACCATTATCCCTACCCTCACAAAGTCGGGGAGCTTGTGTACTGGGTTTGCTCTTTTGCCCTTTTATACACATCTATGTGTGTCTTTTTATGGATAAATTTTGATCAATTATCAATGTAACAGTTCAACCACTTAATCATGCATTGCCACACAACTAAAAGAATTTGACTAAACTCTTTTAATGATATAAGCTCAATTTGTGAAATCTGTCTGCTTAATGATATTTTTAATTTTGTAGATCATGATATCGTTGCAAGCTTTATTGTTAATAAGCCAGTCTCTTTGCTAGAAGATAACATCTTACAGCTCACGGATGAAATTTTTGACGAGATAGAAGTTCCCTCTACCAAAGTACCTCTCTCTTAATAGTTTCCTTTCACGCCCTTTATTAATATTTACGTATTGATGTCATTATCCTTTTTTTTTTTTAATAAAAAAATCCAGGTGGTCGTCTTGTCTCTAGATCCCTTTCCTGTGTCAAACATGACAAAAGTGGTATTTGCAGTTGATCCTGATGGTAAATACTCAGAAATGTCTCCAGCTTCCATTAGTTTGATAAGTGCATCATTTAAATCCCTGGTTATAGGCCAATCAGTTCTCCGGTTCACTTCTTCATCCTTGTTTGGAGATCCCTTCTTTTTCGAAGTGCTGAAATTTAAGGGAGGAATTACCATAATTCCACAACAGAGCGCATTTCCTCTGCAAACAGGGCAAACATTATTCAACTTTACTTTGAATTTCCCAATATATCAAATACAATTAAATTTCACTGAGCTGAAAAGTCAGCTAAAGTCTGGATTACATCTGGCATCTTTAGAGGTTTGTTAATTCTTCTTTCTTATCTTTTTGTTTCCATTGCATACTTGATTGTGATCATTTTGTATACCTTTTGTGTTTGGGGTCAACTTTCAGTTCTGATTCTATGTTATGTGTCAAAAGTCAATAACACAGTTCTTGTGTAAGGATTCTGTTGTTGGATCTGATATCTGTTTCAAGTGAGTAATGTTTGGCATTGCACTATGTAAACAAAAAGAACAATATAGTATGAAAAAATAAGCAAGCTTGCTTGCTAGTGTGCTAGTGTCTTTATTGGCAGTCAGAAAACTATCCTAAATGGGGAAATCCCTACATAATATACAATTTATTGTTCTTGGCACTTCTAGAAGATTTCTATTGACCTGCTAGTCATAGGTTGCCCAATGCTGATTTTGATTGGGTTTCCTGGTTGGTTGCAGAATTTGTATGTCATCTTGTCAAATTCTGAAGGTTCAACAGTAGATGCTCCTACTATTGTTCAGTCATCTGTTCTACTTGCAATTGGGATTCCTCCATCAAAAGAGAGGCTAAAACAACTGGCAAAAACCATCATGGGACCTCATAATCTTGGCTTGAATAACACTGAATTTGGTAGGGTTAAGCAGGTCCGACTTTCATCCATATTGCAACACTCCCTTCATGGCAGTGATGGTAGTGGCTCTGCGCAGTCACCTTCCCCTGCTCCTCTGCCCCATCCACCACACCACCACCACCATCATCAGCATCGACATCATCATCACCACCACGACACCCATCTAAGTCCTGCAACTTCTCCTAGACCTGCACCTACACCTGGGGAGGTTTCAACTCCGCCAAAGGTTGGTTCTCCTTCTGCTGCAAAAAGTGTGCCTTCACCAGGCGAAAGTCCTCAAGCTCAGCCACCAAGTTGTCGACATGGGTATAGAATAAGGTCTACCCATAATGCTGGGAAACATACTCATCTAACACCTGCGGTTGCCCCTAGTATGGATCCACATTATCATGTTCCTGTTGTGTCACCAAAACCACACGTTGAACCCCCTTCACATGTCTCTCATTCAGTACCTGCTTTAAGTCCTTTACCGAATGTTGCTTTTGCTCATGCTGGGTCCCCTCCTAAGAATGAACCAGCTGCGGAACCTTCTCACACCCATTTTCTTGGGCCATCATTATCTTCATGTGAGTATGCTTAATGATGTAGCAATAGTCAATTGGTTCAAAGCTAATGTGTTATTAGTATTAAATTATTAGTGATAACTTATTTTACAATTTTTTGGCATATGCATGTGTTAAACCATTCATCATATAGAAATAGCCTAATGAAGTTTGAAAGGAGGAACTTCACATTCTATATATGGACTCAAAATATCCTCCCAAAAAATTCTCTAGTCTGTATGAACATGCAGGCTGCTCTACTATTTTGCTTCCGTTTTTATTTCTTACATTTTTTCTTTTTTCCAATAGAAATGGTCTTGGAGACTCAAACTCTGGGCAAAACACTTCAGTATTAACAAATTCAAATTCCATCAAAAGATTATAATAATTTTTTCATTTTTGTCCCGTGTTTGAGTTCCTCTTACTTGATTGCTTGAACTTTTGGAATTTGAGGATCTTATTGTATTTCGTGTCATTTCATACATGCAACTCTTCTCTGGATATTTCTCTTATCCAAATTCTGCAAGGATGACTATTTAAGTTCTTAGTGCAGCTGATAATTCATCATATATGACTATGGCATATTGTACCTTGTATACTGATATCCAGTTTTTGCAGCTTCTACAGGTTGTCTTGGAACTGTTAAATGGACAAGTTTAATGTTTGTAGTTCTTGTGTTACTTGTATAATATAGTACTGGAATTGTATCTTTCGGCCAGACAAACTAGAGTACTATAAATGTGAGCTACGCAAAGGGCGTGCTGCACATCTGAGTGGATATAAGTTGTCACCATGCGTGTAAATAGTTGATTAAAAAGATCCAGACAGTGTATGCGTTTTCAGGTCAAAGTCCACATGTGGCAGGCCTTGATTACATGCATTACCGCTGTTTTATGATGTAAGATGAAAAAACAAAATGAAGAAAAAAGAAGAAAGTAATATTTCCTTTTTGTTTCTCATCCCTTGCAATAAATCATTCTGTATACTATGCATGTGAAAAACAAAAAATTGAGCTGCGTGTGTATTCAGTTAAGGGATGTGGTAGATCTGTTACTTTTTGGAAGTTTATGAACCTTCATGCTGTACTCTTAAGTCTCCTCCTATATTGCATATGATGCCTTTAATAAGTTGCACATGATCCTCTTTCATAAAGAATAAAATAATATATGCAATATATCCTCTTGAAGGCAAAAGATCCTCTCATGTGAATTGCCTTTGACTTTCTAGGATGAATGAATGAATGAAGTCCACTTTTTGAAAACATTGGAGGGGTAAAGTCCACTTGTTACGTAATTATGGATAAATGAAGTCCATTGTAAATGTAGGAAATGTTGAATATACTGTCATTTTCATCTAGATATTTAGAATTCGTTAGTATTACTTCATGTCTTAAAAAAAAAGTATACATGGAATGACGATCCTTGCGCCCAAAATCCCAAACTTTTTTGATTTGTATAATCATCAGTCAAGCTTTCTCGACATCTATAAATTATTAGTTTCCAAGAAAAAAAAAAAAAAACATCTATAAATTATTAAGTTCACGTTCTTTCTGTAAGTATTATGTACTTTTTTTTATCCAAATGTGACAAAATAAAGCATTCGAGTATGTCAACCTCTTCCTGAAACGTTTGCATTCAATGTATGTCATCGTATTACTTTTTATAAAATATATTGCTTAACAATATAATTATCCAAGGAGTTTACCATTTTTTATAGTGAGCACAGAGTGTAGTATTTGGGATGACTATATAGATTACATCATCTTATCACCTAGCGTCCATGGACTGACAAGGATTGTTCTAGATGTTGAGTTTTAGATCTAGATGTATAATCTTTTGTGGTTCTGCACCTCTGCCTCACTCAAATCAATGAACCAGTAGAAAAAATAAAATAAAAAAAATCTTAAGTCTATATAATTTTTTTGAATATAACATAATTTTCTCTTCGATAATATGACTTGGGCTCAACCTACAAATATAGTTAGATTTTAACTTATACATGTGTATTTATTTACGGATTATAATCCTTTATAGTTATTTTATAATTGTACAAAGTACAAACCTCAATTACAAAAATATTTATTTATTATAAAATAAGAATTGTCAAAGTTGAATACATACAATCACCGGATAAACGGATAATGAGTAGTTCTATTCCAGCTTGACCAAATGTCTCTAGTTTGAGTCCTTTGTAATGTAATTGTGTTAAAATTTGTTAGAAGGCATTTGATGGAAGAGAGATTTTTTTTACTAGAGAAATATAATTACTGAAAAATGGTTGAAAATGTGAGAAAATAAATTTTTTGGAAAAATTAAAAAAAAATTATTTGATAAGCCAAAATATTACAGGAAAAATTTTGGTGTAAAATTACTATAAACTTGAGTGTGCTAGAAAAAATTAAAATACTACCATCAAGTTGGTATTTCTAAGTTGACATTTTCTTTCATTTTTACCCTACAAAATTTTTTTCATCAATTTTTTTCTCTTAGGCAAATTTTTCTTACTCCAAATCAAATATGATTATTTGTGAATCTTATCTATCACTTTTTTAGTGTTCTCAAAAATATCCACCTACCAACACTCCCTTAGGAGAGTTTTGATTTACTCAAATTATCCTGAGTCAAATCGGCTTAGTTGAATAATCGATCAACGAATTAATAATATAAAAAAAAGTTGAGTACATAAGTGAAAAGTTACAAGTTACATATAAACTGTTGAATGAATAATTGCAGCCCATGTCCTTACTTATGAAACAGTGAAATTTTGGTGACTGTTCCGTAAATCTGTAATCCAATACCATTTTTAATGGTTAATTTCATTATCAACTGTAGATATTTTTTATCTTGCTAGAAGGCAATTACTGAGGAACTTGGAGCTACTGATCTGGCCCAAACTACACACACTGTTTTCTATCACTCGCATGTCACTCTCCCTTTGAAACTGTAAAAGCAAAAATCATGCCCATGCTCACACTCACACTCATATCAGCAAAAAAATATCACAAGATAACACACATTTTCTCTCTCTTTTCCTATCAAATAACTCAGAGCCAGAAACGTCCCTCTTCTCTTACCTGTCTTCCCTCTCAAATTGCACTCTACTTTTTCTTCGAAATATCTCTCCATTCCACTTAGCTGATAACAACCTTCCCCACGTGCTTTTTTTTTTGTTGCTTTTGAACCAAACAATCGCCACTCTCACACACCTTTGTTTCCTCTCTACTCCTTTTGCTTCTCATTTTATTTTGTTTTTAAATTTATTTATATTCCCTTGGTAAGACTTGCAATATCATATCTTCTGGTTGAAGCAAAGGTTAGTTCAATTAGTCTCTCTCTCTTTTTGGGGTAAATTTCATCCACCCATTTTCATTTTCATTGAAAAGATTATATTTTTGTTGAACTCGTTTCAAGTTCTTGAGATTAAAATTCAATTTACTTGAATTATGGTCAATGGGTATGTGGTGTTCGGTTTAGAATCCGAGACCCACCTTTTGCTTGCTTCAACAGAGAAGAAGAAAATTGTATGAATAGTTAGATGCGAGGGGAAAGGTCAGACATTGAAGCATTTTAATATTCAATAATGGGACTTGAGTTTTCCTTAATTGCTTCCTTTTCTTGTTACTGTGAGTTCAAGAGGATGTGAGCTTAGTGCCCAGAACTTTGTATCTTTGATGCTTCAATATATTGTGGATTTGTCTCATCTTTCATTATTAGCTCTGATAGTTGCACTTATTTTAATTTAATTTTTTTTTGGCCAGAAATTTAGTATTTTTTCTTTGTCAAAACCATTTTGGAAGATATGGTGAATCCAGGATTGTTTTCTGGGAGTAAGTCAGTGAATTCAGTGAAGGTAAGCTTTTGGTTACCGTATTTTACTCAATGGGGTCAGAGCTTGCTGGTGTGTGGTTCTGTACCAGTGCTTGGTTCCTGGAATGTGAAGAAGGGTGTGTTGCTTACTCCCTTTCATCAAGGGAATGAGCTCATCTGGGGCGGAAGCATCACAGTGCCAACAGGGTTCCAATGCCAGTACAACTATTATGTGGTTGATGATAACAAAAATGTTCTGAGAGGGGAGATGGGGAAGAAGCGTGAACTGGTACTCCCTGAAGGTATTCAGAGTGGCCAGGAGATTGAGTTCCGTGATCTTTGGCAGGTGCCGCCTTCCTCTATTTCCTCCTGTTTCTTTGTCTTTATTAAGTAATTCTTTTTAAGGTTGCTTTTGTGAAGATATATCCTAGTTTTACTGCCATTCCTAGTAAATTGAGATTCATTTTGTTCAATGATATTATACAGTAGTATACTTTTTCAATGTTGTTCTTCATTTCCCAGCTCAAAGAACGAAAGATATATTCATAACAAAAATATGGTGCTTGAGTCATATTGAGCAAATATTGCAGATTCAGAACATGCCTTTCTTTTGACCCACTTGGGTTCTGTAAAGAACCAATTCAACCCAAAAGCTTAAGCTGTTGGGTGAGGCTACATTAATGGTTTTTTATATATCTCAACACACCCCCTCAGACCAGAGCCCACTGGGCTTGAAGGGTGAACAATGCACAGGCCCACCTACCCGTGCGAAGAAAGAAATTCCACAAGAAAGAAAGTGGGGGCGGTGAGGATCGAACCCGGGACACAAGGCTCTGATACCATGTAAAGAACCAATTCAACCCAAAAGCTTAAGCTGTTGGGTGAGGCTACATTAATGGTTTTTTATATATCTCAACAGGTTCAATAGATTGATATTTCTCAGTGAACAATAAAATAAAAACATTTATAGTATGTGTGCAATTTATTTGTGTTTTGGTTTCACAATTTTCTATTTGAAAGCAAAACTTCCTAATAAACTTAAAAAAAAAAAAAAAACCTTGATGTAGCATGTTATTTGATCTGGTGCTTATTTTATCCGAGCCTTTTGGAGGGTGTAGTTAGCACATAGCCACATACCACTTCTTAAGGTGTGGAGATGCTGGGAAATGCTATGAATATGACTGCTTTTTTAAGGCTAAAATAATTCGATTTTTGTGTCCTGTATGCTGTGTATGTTTTATAACTTTATAAGTTGTGACACTTCATCAACATCAACAACACCTTTATCCCAAATTAATTGGGGTCGGTAGTAGATGAACCCACATGAAAGATACAAAACGGTTGTAAAAAAAGAAAAAAAAAAAGAAAAGAAAAAGAAAAGAAAAGAAAAAGAAAAGAAAAAAGAAAAACAGTAATAATATATATATATATATATATATGATCTGTTATAAAAGAAGGATGTGATCTGTTAAGTTTCTTAACAGATCAAGGGTCTTATTTCTTGATCTTTCTGCTCAGAGTTTTGCCAAAATATTTTACTTGGTAAAGCCTCTGGATGTCTATTTTTCAAAGTTGTCAGTGTGGACATGACTTCTAGAAGTTGAATATAATTCGATAGACTTTAGTTAGGATAAAATTATTAATATTTTCATAATATCTTCTCAAGATCTTTCCTTGTTTTGTCGTCAAGTCCAGACTGGCTCAGATGCTCTCCCTTTCAGTAGTGCTTTCCGAGATGTTATTTTTCGGCGAAGCTGGGATTTGAGCATTAAGGCAACAGTAGGAGACAAACACATTAATTTTGCACCAGAAGGTAACTTTTGCAAATTACATTTTGATCATTTGTTTTTTGGACTTATATGCTGTGAATGTGTGTAGAGAGTGTCAGTTTATTATTTTGCTGATAACTCATTCATTTTTGACTTCTGATGATCAGCACAATCCATCATCGTCCAATTCAAAATTTCCTGCCCAAATATTGAGAAAGCCACATCAGTGAGACATTTTTATCTCTACATGACTAATTTTTATCTGCATGGATTGTGAATGCATTAAAAATATGTCTGTCTGTGTATAACATTACTTCAAGGAATTGTAACTAAAAGGTTGGCACTTACTATGAATTTGTGACCTCTCTTCATCTTTGCAGATATATGTGATTGGTAGCAATACAAAGTTGGGGCAGTGGAAGGTTGAAAATGGACTAAAACTCAGCTATTTTGGTGAATCTGTCTGGCAAGCTGAATGTGTGATGCAAAGGAGCGATTTTCCAGTAAAATATCCATTTTGGACTTTTCATCCTGACATATATGATGAAATTATGGTGTTATTAGTTTCATAGGGTGCTAGCAATACTCTCATCATGCTTTTCATTCTTCCTTAACATTAATTCCACATATAGATATTGCAAATACGGCAGATCTGGGAACGCTTCTATAGAGAATGGTCCAAATCGAGAAGTGTCCATTAACTCCTCAAGGAATGAGGCGAAATATATTTTTCTTTCAGATGGGATGATGCGGGTAAGTTGCTAAAATTACATTTTGGTCGACTACATGGAATTTGTGCTTTTCTAGAATTTTTTGGTTCTAATATGTTGTTGGTTTGCTTTGCTAGGAAACCCCTTGGCGTGGTGCTGGTGTGGCAATCCCCATGTTTTCTGTTAGGTCGGAATCTGATCTAGGAGTTGGAGAGTTTCTTGACCTTAAGTTACTAGTTGACTGGGCCGTAGCATCTGGTTTTCATTTAGTTCAACTTTTACCAATCAATGATACATCTGTGCATAGGATGTGGTGGGATTCTTATCCATACAGGTATAACAGTACCTTCAAAATCATAGTAGACATTAGGTAAACAAATATATTCCTTGTATATATCATTATACCTGTAATTTTGCAAACATGGTTTTTACTCTGCATTAACTGAAGATATTAGAAATTCAGGCTAAAAAGCAAAAAGATAACTAAATATATAGGAAATTGAATTTTCCAAAATTGACTTGAAGTTGCTAACTTCCTCATCTTTGATCTCCTTACAACTTTGGGATGGCATATATTTGATTTTCCAGGTTTGATATTTTCTTTCTTATTTAAAACTATATCAAACTTTTATTTGGATAACTTTTATTTGATTTTCCAGCATATTAAACTATGTCTCTGACTTTAATATTATCATACTTGCAATTGAAAAAATATTTCTTGTGACTAATCGTTGTTTCAAACAATTCATATACTAATTTCAGAGACTTGAATTTGTAATATGCTTGTTTTTCAGTTCACTCTCGGTATTTGCGCTGCATCCATTGTACCTGAGAGTACAAGCTCTTTCTGAGAACATGCCAGTGGAGATCAAGGTTATGTTTTGGAATTTTACTCTCTATTGAATAGTATCGATAGCAACTTTGAAATGCTGATATTTGTAATGCTTGGCTTTTCTTTTATACAGAACGAGATTGAGATGGCAAAGCAGCAATTGGATGGGAAGGTAATGCTATCAAATGTTTATATATATCTTAACATCATCAATTAAGGTTTGCTGATTTATATATATGCATCATTAAAATAAAATGCTGTTAGAAAGTCTAAAATAATTTGTCTTTTTATTCAGTCCTCTATCATTGCTGTTGTTTTAAATAAAACACCAGTTCTGAGCAAACACCAGTATAACCAGATTATATATTAGAAGGGAAGGATCTGTTAAGGTTGTAAAGATTGATGGTGAATTATTTTCAGTCTTCAATGTCACTCCACTCACTTTCATTTCCTTAAAAGTGCAATAACAGCAGAACACCTTTCAATGACTCATGGAATTAATATTGCTAATATTTTGGTGTATAAAAACTTTTTTATTGAAGATCAAATTGCCACAACTAGTTGACTATAATACTCATTAGATTCAATTCTAGGTTTGAAATAAGAGCAAACCTACCCTTTCAACTTACAACAAATTATTATTTTTGGCTATATTTTCTGTAAATATGTTGTTACTGTCATCGAGATTTTTCTATGCAAACATATTGGTGGAGGTGGATAACAATTTCCTTATGATTGGATACTTTTATTTGGGTCCTTACAGGATGTTGATTATGAGGCTACAATGGCTACTAAACTCTCAATTGCTAAGAAAGTTTTCACTCAAGAGAAAGATTTGATACTTAATTCAAGTTCCTTTCAGGAGTTCTTTTCTGAGAATCAGGTCTCACTACTGTATACTATTATTGCTTAATCTGTTGGCAAAAGACATTTTCCCTGTCTTATCTTTTTGTTTATCTTACCCTTTTTTCTCCTTTATAATGAATTTTCCACAGTCAATTGTTTCTTATATTGTCATTTTATTTCAACTGCTACGCTGACTCAGCTTTGTTCTTGATGGCAATAGGGTTGGTTGAAACCCTATGCTGCCTTCTGTTTCCTGCGGGACTTTTTTGAAACATCAGATCGCAATGAATGGGGTCGTTTTGCCCATTATTCCGAAGATAAAGTACAAGCCTTCCTCTTTTCTTGTTTTGTTTTTGTTTTTGTTTTAAAATCTCGTCATGTTGAGATTTTATATATCCTATTGTTTTACAGCTAGAGAAACTTGTATCAAAGGAAAGCCTGCATTACGAGATAATTTGCTTCCACTACTATGTTCAATACCATCTACATTTGCAAGTAAGTTAAATTGAGCCCTATCCTGTAAGTTCTTCATGGCAGTCAAATCACTCAACAAAAAGAATCTTATCATTTCCTTTCATCTCGTTCTGACAGTTATCAGAAGCTGCTGATTATGCAAGAAAGAAGGGAGTGATACTAAAGGGAGATCTTCCTATTGGAGTTGACAGAAACAGTGTGGATACCTGGGTTGATCCAAATTTGTTCCGAATGAACACTTCTACTGGGGCACCTCCGGATTATTTTGATAAAAATGGGCAGAATTGGGGCTTTCCTACGTATAATTGGGAAGAAATGTCAAAAGACAACTATGCTTGGTGGCGAGCTCGGTTGACTCAGGTTTTGGTTTTCCGTTCTTGATTCTGTCCTTAACTAGATAATAATCTATGCAATCTTAAGTGTAGACGCCAAAGATTAATTTTCTTTATATCCATGGCAGATGGCAAAATATTTTACAGCTTATAGGATTGATCACATATTGGGATTCTTCCGAATTTGGGAGCTTCCAGATCATGCTATGACAGGTCTAGTTGGAAAATTCCGACCATCTATTCCTCTAAGTCAGGTATCCTTATGTTCCTTTAAATTGAAAGGGCATTTGATGTTGTGAAATACGTACTGAACTGCTTTAACTGGAAAAAAAAGCCATTTCTTTTCTTCTTCAGTCAATTCATAATTTATGCTATATCTATTGTAGGAAGAACTTGAAAGAGAAGGAATATGGGACTTCAATCGTTTGAGTCGCCCATATATTAGGCAGGAACTCTTACAGGTTAGTAGTCTACCTTTCAGGATACAACTTAATTTTTCATAATTTGTGAATGGTTTTTTATGTCTTGTATATGTATTTCTCGGGATAAGTTATACCATATTGTATTCATTCTTGTTTCAGGAAAAATTTGGAGCTGCTTGGACATTTGTTGCAACAACTTTTCTGAATGAATATGACAAGAACTGCTATGAGGTGATCATCCTTTTCTGTATAGATTTTCTTTTGCTTATTATTGGCATACCTTCAATTTAGCCATAAGGAAACAACTTTTCTGAGTGTAAATGAGAAAAATGCTTTTGGGTGACTATTGTTTTAATTAATAAATATTTCATAACCAATTCCTGTAGGCTTTTTTAACATAACTTTAAACTTAATCGTAAAATTTACATGATTGGACTCTGCTTGGTTCAGGAGTCTTCATTAAGATGGATGGTTTTGTTGTGATGTAACCAAATTCAGTACTAAAAGCATGAACCTCTTTTTTCTACTCCCGCATTTATTTAAAATTATGTCACCAGCTTTATTTATTTATTTTTTAATATTTTCTCTTCTTATTCTATATGTTACTTATGTTTCTCTGCGTTTTTGCTGTTGTTATTGCACTTTATATAATTATATTATTGATGTTTGGCTGCTTGAGAACATATTGGTTCTAGATATTTAGTTATATTGTTTTCTATCATTTGTGTCAATGCCACATTGGTTCTGCCACTAATCTTTTCTGGTTATCCTACTTTCCATTCATCTCACTTCTTCTTTGTGTGTGTGTACCTACATTCTAAATTGCATGATTAAACCACCTGATGGGATTATCTTAATCTTGTTCATATTAAGGACCATCCCTTACTTATTTCCTATACTTCTTTGTGCTCATTCTTCCACTCGATTTAGGCTCATTATTTTTCTGCTTCATCTGCATGATGCATTTCATTCAGTCCTTTTCCAGGGCACCGAAATCAGTATTGTGTACGTCTTTTCCCTCATTTTACCAAACTTGCTCCTAGTCTTTAATCCTTACTCTGTGGTTGTCAATGACTAGCTTCCCTTAAGCTTTAACTGTTAGGCAAAGATCTAGGTTTGGTTTTTTTATCTCTAACACATTCCCTCGTGCCAAAGCCCTTTGGGCTTGAAGTGTGGACATAACGAAGTCCTCCTTGCGTTGAAATCGAGTTTAATTATGAAGAACAATGCTAGCAAAGAACTTGAAAAGAGAAGAACAATGCTTAGCCCAAAGAAGATTCCAAAATAGAATGAAATAATAAATAAAATAAATAATTACAATTACTTACAACATTTCCCACAAGCTGAAGAATGGATATTTATCATTCTCAGCTTGCTAGTAACCTCCTGAAATCTTTCTGAGGGAAATCTCTTCGTCAGAATGTCAGATAATTGATGTCCAGAAGGAATGTATGGAGTGGTGATCAACCACTATCAAGCTTCTCTTTAATAAAATGGCGGTCGACCTCAATGTGCTTAGTCTGATCATGTTGAACTGGATTATGAGCTATACAAATGACACTTATTATCACAAAGTAGTTTCATAGGTCTTTCATATCTTATTTTGAGATCATCAAGTATAATTCTCAACAACAATAATTCACAAATGCTTCGAGCCATAACTCGAAATTCATCTTCTGCACTCGACCTGGCAACCACATCCTGCTTCTTACTCCTCCATGTCACTAAGTTACCACAAAGAAACATACAATAACCAGTGGTAATTTGACGATCACTCACGAATCCAGCATAATCGGATCAGTATAAACTTCTAAAGAGAGATTGCCATCACGCCGGAACAACAGTCCTTTACCAGGAGCAACTTTAAGATACTGAACAATTCTCTCCACTGCCTGCATGTGTTTTTCGTTTGGATTATGCATGAACTGACTCACAATACTAACAACATAAGCTAGGTCTGGTCTAGTATGAGCCAAATATATCAGTCGTCCAACTAGCCGTTCATATTGTGCTTTATCAATTGGAGGACTCTCTTCTTAATAACCCATCTTGTGATTTTGCTCAATAGGAGTACTAAAGGGTTTACATCCAAGTTTTCCTGCTTCTTTAAGAAGATCAAGGACATATTTTCTCTGGCTGATAAAAACTCCTTCCTTTGAATGAGCTACCTCTATCCCTAGAAAATATCTAAATTTCCCAAAGTCTTTAGTTTCAAACTCAGAGGCTAGTCGTGCTTGTAAAATATGTCTCCCCGCAATATCATCGCCTGTTATAATAATATCATCAACATACACAAGGAGCACAGTGAGCTTCCCATCTTGAGAGTGCTTAAAGAAAAATGTGTGAACTTTTGGACTCTGTTTGTATTCTAAGGTTATCATGACCTTAGTAAATCTCCCAAACCAGGCACGAGGAGACTGCTTCAATCCATACAAGGTATTTTTTAACTTGCAAACTTTATTTTCTCAATCATAGAGTCAAAACCAAGCGGGATTTTCATGTAGACCTTTTCTTCTAAGTTACCATTAAGGAAAACATTCTTCACATCAAGTTGATTCATATTCCAGTTGTAATGGGCAGCAAGGGACAACAAGGCTCTCATAGTATTCATCTTTGCAACTGGGGCAAAAGTTTCTTCATAATCAATGCCATAGGTCTAAGTGTAACCCTTGGTGACTAATCGAGCCTTATATCTCTCAAGAATACCATCAGAATTATACTTTAGGGCATAAACTCATTTGCACCTTACTATTTTCTTTTTATTAGGTCTATTAACAACCTCCCATGTTTGACTTTTCTCCAAGGCATTCATTTCCTCTTGTATAGCTTGAGCCCAATTCTCATCTTTTGATGCTTCATGTATTGATTTTGGGATTGAGATAGAATCTAGTGCTGAAATAAAGCTTTTGTGCTGCACAGAAAGGTTATTAGAAGAGACAAAATGAGAGGCAAGAGGGACAAGATCTTTAGATACAAGATTTTTTTCCCTTTTCTTAGGGCAATGAGTAAGTCATAAGAGGTAATGGGTAAGTTATCAGAAGCAATAAGAAAATCATTTGAGGTAATAATGTTAGGTTCAAAAACAGGAAAGGCAATATTAGGTTCATAAACAAGAGGTTCAGGCGATTGAGGTTGTTGGTGAAGCAGTGCGAGTTGTTTCCTTCTGTGATATATCAAATTAGGTGTCAAAATCTTTCGTATCTCCAGTGTATTTGAAGGATCATACATAGGAGGATCAGAAACAAGAGGTGGAGGAGTAGACATGGAAGATCCATACTTAAAGAAGGAAGGTGATGAGTACCTGGGAAAAAGGACTCAGATTCATGAAAGGTAATATCCATAGAAACAAAATATTTCCGACTGGCAGGATGATAACACTTGTAGCCTTTCTTATCCAGGGCATAACTAAGGAAGACACACTTAAGAGCCCTAGGATCCAATTTACTGTGATGTTGTTTATGAACATGGACAAAGGCAACACACCCAAATACTCGTGGCTGAAGACTCTGCATAATGGGAACAGAAGAAAGAAGGAAGTCATAGAATGAATAGGACGAGTATCGTTAAGGACATGTGAAGATAAGCGGTTGATCAAAAAAGTTGCAGTGAGAATGACATCTCCCTAGCAGCAATTGAGTACATGATTCTGAAAAAGTAAGGCACGAGCAACTTCAAGAAGATGACGATTCTTCCTCTCAGCGACCCTATTTTTTTGAGGGGTATCAACACAAGTAAGTTCATGAATTATGCCCTGATCGTGGATGAATTGGGAAAGAGGCTGATTGACATGTTCTGTACCATTGTCGAACCTAAGTCTTTTAATTCTTTTACCAAATTGGGTCTCAATCATTTTATAAAATTGAAAGAATAATTGTGGTACTTCAGACTTCTCATGCATTAAGTAATACAGGTTACACAAGTACAATCATCAATAAAAGAGAGAAACCATTTTTTACCAAAAATACTAGGGACTTTAGAAGGACCCTAAACATCAGAATGAATAAGATTAAAAGACTCAACACTTTTATTGGTACTAGAAGGAAAAGAGACACAATGGTGTTTAACGAACTCACAAAAATCTGAATGAAAAGACTCAACAGACTTAGACAAAAATAATGATGGAAATATAGACTTAAGCAATCGAAATGGAGGATGCCCCAAGCGTTTATGATGAAACCAAATCAAAGAGTCAGTAGTAGACTGAGAATGAGACAATAAGGTGTTATCCTTAGCATACTTTGCAGGAGATTCTAGCATTAGATAGTACAATCTACCCTGCTCCTTAGCATCCCAATCGTCTTCCCTGTGGCAAGATACTGAAAAATACAGTGACTAAGAAAGAATGTTACAGTGCAATTCAAATTTCTAGTAATTTTATGGACAGAAAGAAGATTAGTAGAGAGTTTGGGAACATGAAGAACATTTTGGAGATGTAAGGAAGGTTTTAAGGATATGTTACCAGAACCTGCAACTGATGTATGTGAGCCATCAGCTACGGCTATGGTATGGGTGCCAATAGTAGGGTTATAAGAGGAAAAAAAGTTAGAACAACAGGCCATATGATCAATAGCACCAGAATCAATAATCCAAGAATGTTCAAAATCAGTACATGAAGTAAGAAAAGAATGAGTAGTGGAGATCATATCAGTCAAAGCCAAAACACTAGTACTAGATGGCTTACTCAGAGAATCAAGCATATTCCGAATCCGTTCCAACTAATCTCGGCGAATAGAAATAAATTCCAAGGATGCATCATTGGAATCCGTCATAATGCTAAAATAACCTCAAAAGGAACAAATCAGTCTTAAAAGGAATACGAACAATTGATGAAAAATTACCCCAAAGGTATCTAGAGAGTCTAAATAGAGGCAGAATTATCAGATCTGCCAGAAGGAACCAAAAAAAGGGCAAAAAAGATTGCAACTTGAGGCGAATATCACATAAACGCAAAACCAAACAATGTTGTAGAAGCCTCTGAACGTCTCAAACAGCAACAAAAAAATCATTTATGATCAAAGGAGATGCATCATTGGAATCCGTCATAATGCTAAAATAACCTCAAAAGGAACAAATCAGTCTTAAAAGGAATACGAACAATTGATGAAAAATTACCCTAAAGGTATCTAGAGAGTCCAAACAGAGGCAGAATTATCAGATCTGCCAATAGGAACCAAAAAAGGGCAAAAAAGATTGCAACTTGAGGCGAATATCACATAAACGCAAAACCAAACAATGTTGTAGAAGCCTCTGAACGTCCCAAACAGCAACAAAAAAATCATATCTGATCAAAGGAGGTGCGAGTAGCCAAAAAGATCCGATTTTTAGGGCATGTTTGGTGCATAGTATAGGATAAGGTCTGATAGTATAAGACTTGATAGTATAAGGCCTGATTGTATAAGACCTGATTGAATTTTAATACTATTCAGCGTTTGGCACGGTATTGTATAATATGATATATTGTATAAAATAATATCATCTAATATTTGGTAATGTACTGTATAATACTATATAGGATAAAACTAAATATTTTTAATAAAGATATCTTTTAATAAAGAACTTATATAATTCTTCAAAAAATGTCATATGATATTAATTTTTATAAAAATTTATTGATTAGTGTGTCTAAAACATAAATTAATTTTTATAAAAATAAAAATATTCAATATTTTAAAAATTAACATATTGAAAAATTAATTTTTATTCTAATATATTAATATTAAGATAATATATTAATTTTTGAGAATTACCTGGTCAATGATATTAATACACCAATATCTTATCAGGCCTTATCCTTTCCCCTTAGGCCGGATTAAGTTATACATCATTTTGATGTATTAAGAGATCGTGCTGTATAAGCTTATACTATACGATGATCACACCAAACAACTGAAAATGTCATAACGTATAGTATAAGCTTATATTATCAGGCCTTATACGTCACACCAAACAGGCCCTTATGGCAAGAACAAAGACCCACTGCTGAAAAGGTGTCTGATCAAGCAGGTGAGGATAGATCTGGAACCGGGAGTCAAGGCGATTCCAACCGAGGTGGTCCGAGACTGATCGACGGTGTCACGTGCTGGGAAAGTGTCAGCGCGAGTCCCACGTGCCGATAGTCTAGGAGGCTAGTGAGAGCGCGTTTGGCTTCTGACGGTGATGGACTTTCTGTGGCGAGGTTGTCTGGTAGTAGTGGTCCTATCTGTGGTTGGTCAGAGTTCAAAGGTTGCCGAAATTGTACTGTTCCAGTGAAACGCAGGTGCGGTTTGGCCTTTTGGAGCTGATTTGGAGCTCTGTTGTCTGTAGAAAGGTAGATCAGAAAAAAGAGAGTCAAACAGTGGCCCCCCTCGGTCTACTGAAATTTTTTCCAGTTGCGGCGAGAGGCAAACAATTAAGGTTCCGCTCTAAAGGCAGCAGTCGGAAGCAAAGCCCTCTGGATCGAAAGCTCTGATACTAACTTGAAAAGAGAAAGATAATATTATATTGAATTGTATATTACAACTGTACAAGAGCTCTCTATTTAAAAAAGCTAAATGACCTAATGGACTAAGCCCAAAAAAGATTCTAGAATAAAATGAAATAATAAATAAAATAAATAATTACAATTATTTACAACAAAAGATGAAACTCTTTTGACTACATGGTCATAGGGGTTCTGATATCATGTCAAGGGCCATTAACAACCTAGGAGATTAAGTTGTTAGGTGCCTGGTATGAGAATGGTTTTAATCTCTAACAATAGTTTGTGTAAGGCTTGTTGGCAATGCTATGTTCTATGCTGTTAGGTCTACTCTACATATTCTTTAATTAGGTGTCAATAATTAATTGGATATTCAATATGATACGTTCGCTCACAAGAAATAGAAGAAGATAGGTGTATTTACCTCCCAAAAAAAAAGAGTAACAATGGTCTCAGTCTCAAGTACTCCAGAGAAAGTACACGTTCAACATAAGGAGAAGTGAAGAAATGGATTCAAATGACAATATTGACCCTATGCTACAGTGACATAGAAAAGGCAAAAAGTGTAAAGAACCAATTTAATCCAAAAGTTTAAACTGGTGAGTGAGACTACATTAATAGTTTTATATATCTCTAGCACGCCCCTTCACAGGAGAGCTCACTGGGTTTGAAAAGTGAATAATGTCCAGGCTCACCTACCTGTATTGAGAAACTTCACAAGAATTGATTAATTATTAATTAAATGGGGGGCAGTTAGCATCGAACCCATGATAACCAGGCTCTGATACTATGTAAAGAATTAATTCAATCCAAAAGTTTAAGCTGGTGGGTGAGGCTACATTAATAGTTTTATATATCTTTGTCAAAAAAGAAAGTGAAAGAAATTGCTGAAAAATAGGTAAAAAGTCCCTGAACTTTAGAGAGGTTTAGAATTTCTTCCGGGCCTAGCCAATCCCAGAATTCCAGATACCCTTTGTACAGAATTCCAGATACCTGTCACACTGGACATTTTCACCACATTATTTTGGGCTGGACATACGCATTGGCCCAATGCTTCCTATTCTTAGCCCTTCTATAAACCTTAATGTAAAGTGTGGCTTGCTAGTCATGTTTTGGATGGATGTTACTCTGGAGGACTATCTTGCACGCTTTAGAAGTTTGGGGACTATCTTGCACGCTTTTCAAGGTTTAAGGACTAAACTACACATCATGTAAAATTTAATGGTGTAAATGGACTTTTCACTTCTTCTTGTTATTTAATTATTAACCAATGAAAGAAGGGGAGGAACACTTGAAGTTTATAAGATTTCACCATCAATTTTGAAGACTATTTTAAATAAACAGGCTATTGTGTGCTTTTTTTGGGAAGAAACAATGATGAATTTCAGCGGACAAAACTGGAAATTGGGCATTTTTTCAATTATTTATATGCACATTTATCAGATAATTCGATTAAATAATATATTGAATATTTAAGTTTTATACGTCAATCAAACAAAATCGCTTTTTGCAAAATGACTTAAAAGACCTGAAAATCCAGCACTGCTTTTTCCAGTATTCAGTTTTATCAAACACCCCCTTAGACGTCATCCATTTGCAGTAAATTGACAATTTTGTCCATGTTATATCAGCATTGCTAAGCTGACTAAAACCATTGGTTTAGCAATGGTGAAGAGTGGATATCAGGTATACATCATCGAATATACCAAGAAGACAACTTCGTAACATACCTGTGATTATTGCATTTGAGATTAATTAATTTTGAAATAAAATTCATGGTTTGTATAAAAACGAGTTTTAGAAATCCAATGGATAGTATATCTTCTTCACAGTTCATGGCTGGTATATTGTCTTATGGTTGAGACATGGCTGGGCCTGGTAGCAGTTCTTGATCACATATTTGTATTCTCATCCTAACAAAGTAGATGAAGACGCATGTGATGTTCTTTTGATGTATTGAATAATGGAAAATTTTCATAATCAAGCAAGTACAGCTATGAGTTGCTTGGTTACTTGTCTATAAGGGAAGAGTTTATTCTCAACCATTCAAAATTAAAAGTGTTATACTGGCTTTATGGGTAAATCTGTTGCTTTATTTCGTAAAGATCTCTAGTCAATGTAATATATAGGATTCAATGGTACCAATCTAAGAGAGGTGTAGATATTTTATCATGTAAGATATGAAAGTTAAAATGTCCACTTATGTTGGTTAATTTTAAATGTGTCTTTTCTGTGATTAAATTTGTTGTCAATTCTGTTGTGACCATTATAAATATTCTGTAAGAGTGTTGAAGTGTCTGGCTCAAAAATATTTTTATTTTCCATAATTCATTTTAGTTCAAGGAGGATAGCAACACAGAGAAAAAAATTGCTTCCAAACTGAAAATTTGTGCAGAAAGTTCCCTCTTGTTGGAGACTGAAGACAAAATCCGGCGCAATCTCTTTGATCTTTCACAGGTAGCTGCTTCCTTGCTCATATTTTTCTTCTCTTCCCCCACTGGCTCCCTGTATTGATATTTAACTGAAAAGTAAAACTTAAATATTTTGGATTTAATTTTGATTCACTGATTGTATTAAGACTGTTACACTATCAGCAAACCATATAATTTTGTCCTTTTAAGATACCCTGGAAATTCCACTGCATGTGAAAGCCTCAGTCACAACAATGACTTGGCATTTTCTAAAAAGTTTTACACCTACAGGGGATCAAATTTACACTCTTCAATTTTTGACATGGCTTTTCTTTTAGTATATTTTGGATCTTTTCCTGTCTTGCGATCTGTGTCATCCTGTGTTACGAGTCCTACATTATCTTCTATGATTTTGGTTTGCAGAATATAGTTCTAATCCGAGACCCGGAGGATCCAAGAAAATTTTATCCTCGTTTCAACCTTGAGGACACCTCAAGTTTCCAGGATTTGGATGATCATAGGTAACTTAATTATCTCAGTGTGTGCATGTGTACAATCCATTGAGGATGGTATCTCCTATTATGCTGCTTTTTCAGCATATTTTAACAGTGAAAACTGTTCTGCATCAAGTACAAAAATTATTTTCACATTCTGAGTTCTGACTTCCTTGAGATATCATCTCACGAGATCTCTAACTGCTTATCATGTAATACAGCAAGAATGTCCTCAAAAGATTATACTATGACTACTATTTCCATCGTCAAGAGAATCTTTGGAGGCAGAATGCGTTGAAGACCCTGCCCGTACTTCTAAACTCATCAGACATGCTGGCATGTGGCGAAGATCTGGGCCTCATTCCATCTTGTGTCCATCCTGTATGCCCATAATGTTTTCCTTAAGTTCTTCTAATCAAGAACCTCTATCTCTCTCTCTTGAAAGCGTGCGCGCACACACTCACATTCTGACTTTATCATAAAGATATAAAAAAGGATTTGGATTTATTTTTATTTTTATTTTGGGGTACATTGAAAGGATTTGACTATAAATTTGTTAATGTAGGTTATGCAAGAACTGGGATTAGTTGGGTTGCGCATTCAGCGGATGCCCAATGAACCTGGTTTGGAATTTGGTATTCCTTCTCAATACAGCTACATGACGGTAAGGTTTTTATGTGATACTGCTTGTCCTTATTTTATTTTGGCGCCTTTGGTTGAACTAATGTAAGCATGTTGATTTTTGTCTATTTTATTGAGGCTTCATGGTTCCATATTTAAAAAATAATAATAATAATAAATAAAAGACCATTGAAGGGATGAAAAATCCTTTAAAGCAATTTTTTTATTTTTTTGTCTAAATTATTTGGAAACCTTAGCTCTAACCTTATCTGGTTGTGTTAAATCTATGCCACATTCAAATGTCTTATGGTTTTATGCTGTAAAGATATTGTTTTCGGTGGTAGTAATACTTATATGCTTCAGAAGGCATGAAATTAGATATTTAGGTTTTTTTTTTTTTTTTTTTTCTGTATTCTGCTAAATCTGAGTACAGATTTAATGACATCTAATGTCAGCTTTTGAAATTTGAGGGCTTTGATAAGAATGTCATTTGATTGAGCGAGTTAAGTTAATGTGCAGGTATGTGCCCCATCATGTCATGACTGTTCCACCATGCGAGCTTGGTGGGAAGAAGATGAAGAAAGAAGACAACGGTTTTTCGAGAATGTGGTGGAGTCTGATGCATTGCCACCCGATCAATGTGTTCCAGAAGTTGCACATTTTATTTTAAGGCAACATGTTGAAGCCCCATCAATGTGGGCAATTTTTCCTCTTCAGGTATTCTGACATACATGTTATTACAATACTTGGTTAAAAGAACTTGATTGCTAACCCTGAAGGGTGACACAGGGCCCGAAGGTCTCTAGTTTGGTTCCTAGGTGAAACAACTTGACGCTAGTGATAAAAACCTTCATACTCTATTCCACAAAAGGGATTAGTCTCATCCAAATGGGTGGGAACACCCTTGAGAAACCGAAAAAAAGACCTCTATTCCTTCTAGTTTCCTACTACAGCCCTTGCGGATCTCACTAGTTGGTTTATGGCTGTCAGGACTTCCTCCATTTTAGTTATTTCTCTCTGCCCATGAAAATCATGCTCTTAATCTGGTGTACAGGACTTGTTGGCATTAAAAGAAGAATATACAACACGCCCTGCAACAGAGGAGACAATCAACGACCCTACGAATCCGAAGCACTATTGGAGATACCGTATGTCTTGAGCTTTTTCTTAAAGCTAACTCTTAATTAGACAACGGAAAATTATGATCTAATTGTGCCTTGGACTGTTTCCAGGTGTACATGTGACTCTGGAATCATTGATTAAGGATAATGAGCTCAAAACCATCATCAAAGATCTTGTACTTTGGAGTGGAAGATCAGTTCCTCCAGAGGACTCTGAAGAAGAAGCAGCGAGCCTAGTGTCAGCATCATCAGTAACAGATGCTGTCTCTGAAAAGATTCGTCTGTCTTCTGAATCGAATGGAGTTCCACGAAAAGAACCTTTGGCTGTACTCTAATGTTATCCATACTAGCCCTTTGATTCACTTTGTTACATTACATAACCTGCTGCAATGAAGAGAAAAATAAGGATTCATCCATGTGATGGAACTTGTAGTTCCCTCTGTTTCCATAATGTTTTCTTTATAAGGAAAATAATAATACATTCAGAAGTATGAATATGCCTATAAGTTGTACCTATTATAATAATAGTTATTATCTTTCCTTGCTAGAAAAGGTATATATTTTAAGAATTATTAAGATTTTTACCATGAAATCCCATGCTGGAAGTAGGAATTGCTTTAATATTACCATACACATTGGATTGAGTCGAGTGTGTAAGACATACTAAAAAAGTCATTTTTTTTTCTTTTTCTTTCAACTCATCTATTTTTAATATCTATTTTTTTTGGCTCGGCAAAGTGATGCTATATCATGCTATGTATAGCTGAGCCCGATAAAATCAAGCTAACCAAAATGGTTTGATATTTATCATGTTATAGAAAATAAAATTATTTCATTTACATGTGAGGTCATATAAAGAGAAGAAGGAGAAAAAAAAATTGAGCCTTATATTTTTATATGTATGTAGGAGATAATTTTATCCCTTATAATTGAGAAATATTAAAACTCATAAATAAAATAAAAAATACATTTACCAAGCAAAAAAAAAGAGAGGAATTCAAACCCTCAATAATTCTTTGTTTTGAGCTATGCTGGTTTTCAATAGTAGAGTTATTAACCACTCAGTTATCTCTTCAAAAGTTAATTTATATATATTGGTAAATAATTTATATTTTATCTATATATATATATATTTTTTTAAATATTTTATCTATATTACACTAAACAGAACATGAACATATCTATAATATGATACGACATCACTATTTTTTAAAGATTTTTTGATATCAGTGTCAAATTTTAAAATTTGATACTAAATTTTAACCGTTGATTTCCGTAAATCAATAATTATAATTTTCGTCGATCAAATTTATTAATTAATTATTAATTCTCAATAAATGATAATCCAGATAAAGGGGTAATAATAAGCCATATAAAAGTAGTGGATTCATCATAAACCCTCACAATGCGTTTTTTTATTGCCATTTTTTTTAATAAATGGATCAAAGTTTTTTAGTAATAAATTGGAGGATTAGAAACATCACTCTTGCTTTTCAATTGGCTATTTTGCTTCTCCCCATGGTTGGTCCAGGAACAAAAATGTTACATTTTCCTACATCATTATGATTGATTTAGTATTTTTTATTCAATATTTAAATTAAAAAAACTTCATATTTTCCCCTACTATAATTTCTGTTTCTCTCATTATAAAATATAGTAATTTTGATTAAAATAACATAATTTTATGTATTTTAAAATGGAGAAAAGTGTTTGTCATTTTAAATGACAGAAAGTCATGTCATTTTAAGAGAGATACAGACACAGAAAATTTGAATTTTAAATTAAAAAAACCACTCACTTTCTCTCTCCCATGATTTCTATTTTTCTGTGTCTATCTCTCTTCTAAAATGACATAACTTATGTAATTTAAAATGACATAACTTATGTAATTTAAAATGACATAACTTAAACCCTTTAAAATGATAAAAACTAATGGCATGTAATATATGGAAATCATGGACGACTCCACACGAATGAATTCGGTAGTGTCTAAGAGCCTACGAGGCCAGCATTTTACGGTCTGGGTTCAGCCTCAGCCCAAGATACAAACGTGTTTTACTTTTAATTATCTCAAGCAGGAGTTTGGTTTTCACCTTATTATATGGTTTTGCCATAACTGCTGATTTATTGGAAATGAAGAAACCACATTATATTCAAAGAATAAATATTGAAAACCAAATGGGGTCTTGGAAAAGTTTTTTTTTTTTTTTTTTAGTTATAGAATAGATTTTTTAATAGTTTCGATATTTTTTCATAAAATAGGTAAGTTACAAAATTTTATCTCATTAATCCGTATATAACAGTGCTTTTTGCGTTCGTTGTATTTCATTTGTTCAAAATCTATTAATTAATTTTTCAATAGCAAAACAAAAAGACTCCTGATAAGTAAATAAAAAAGAATTGTCACTCCCATAGATATTTTGTTTTGTTACAAACTTACAATTTCTCATTGTCTGAAATTAAACAATTCAAATTTGACACAAATCAATGTTCACGTTAGACCGAATCTCAGCCGGTTTCAGCGCAACAAATCACGAGCAAAAGTCAGGAGAAAGAAACCTACGGTATTGAAAACTTTTAAACGGCCACAAACTAATAAAAGGAAAATGACAGCTTGCAATGTAACAGGAGGCAGAACATGACCACAACCTATTTTTCGGTCATGGCAGGTGTCATATTATGGTAAGGCCACGTAACAAATAGCGGTTAGAGTTTAAGGATGTTAGTTAGTTAATACTAAATTAAAAATGTTTCGTATATAATATTTTACTATTTGTGTCTGAAAAAATGCCAAGTGTCGTTGTGGGAGGGTGAAGCAGCAAAAATAGGAATGTGAGAGAAGAAAGGAATGAGAAAACAATACATATGAAGAAGAAAGGGTGAAAGGGTGAAAGGGGTAAGGTTTTGTGTATAGAGAGGAGGGGGATATTAACATTTGGGAGTGGGAGTGGGAGTGGAAGTGGAGTTTTATTTCGATATTACTCCGGTGACGGTTTGGTTCTCTCGCGCTCCCGTTGTTTCTCATTTCCCTGAATACCTTTACAAGTGTTCAGGGTATGTTCTCTCTCTCTTTCCCCTTTTTTGTTGTGTAGGAAAAGGAAAATGGAACAAGTTTTATCATGGGTGTTTGAGAAAATGTTCAAAGAAATGGTCTTTTTAATTTATTTCTTAGCATTTGAAAATTGATGCATTGCCTTCTCCCCTTTTTGTTTTGTGGGAAAATGAAAAGGAAAATGGAAAATGGAACAAGTTTTATCATGGGTGTTTTAGAACATGTTAAAAGAAATGGTCTTTTTAATTTATCATGGGGTGTTTGAAAATTGATGCATTGCCTTCTAGATCTCGTGATGATTGTGAGATGTCATTGATGACAATTTGTGTTTCATGTCATGACAGAATGTAAAGCTTCGTTTTATGTATTTAAATATGTGAATGTTACATGATCAATGGTTCAGAAATTTGAGGCAATTCATGTGGGGAGGAGCGAGGGATAAATTGAAATTTTATGATTTTCTTTCTATGGATTTGTGTATGACGTGAGATATGCAATTGTTTATTTTCTTGTTTACATTTTCTGCTTGGAAAATTTGCAGGTTATAAGGGAATCAAGGAAACATGTACAGAAATTAGCCTGCTTTTCTGTTAATTTGGTATTCAAGTTTAAGCGATGAGTCCAGCATTTGAATTTTACATCTTTAAAGTCAATCTACAGTAAGAAATTCGGCACCATTTTTAATTGCTTTATTAAATTATTAGTCAGGCTCCGTTTGTTGTTGATGTTGTTAATGTTTTACTATTTTAAAAGGAATGGAATTCGTAGAGATAATATCAAACGATAATTTCCATGTAGTTTATCGTCTTGATTTCTTGTTCTAGCAATGCCATATGCATGTCTTTTTTTTTTTTGATACAATATATGCATGTCTTTCATCTCTAAAATATTGAAGCACGTTTTTGACCTACTATGTGAGAAGATAATGCATGGGAATGATCATATTTATGAGCTACGTGGGAGTATGGTATTGTGTCATTTAATATAGAGTTATATCTATCATATGAAAATACATTCTGACTGTAATGTAATATATATGAACTTGCTCAGATAGACACTTTTAAGGAAAGTGTATTATGTCTATGCCAAAGGTGTTGATGACTTGATTCGGTATCTTGAAAGTGGTTTTAACATTAATGATTGTTTCGCACATGCAGATATCATCGTCTTCAGGAAACTAATTTTCAGTGGATTTGGTGAGAACTGCCCCTTGGAATGTGCTGCTGCCATTCTAATCTGGATGAGATTGTTCAAAATGGCTGTGGCCGTTGATCAACATCATGGATTTAAGCCATTTAACCGATCCCAGAGATGCAAACTCCAATCCTTTGGTCACCTTGATCAAAACCTTCTGGAACTTAGCCAAACTAGTCTTTCCCACTCCTTTGAACTAGCATTTGAAGCCGATAATATTCACCGCAGTTTCTCCACTCCATGCCTACCCCTAACCACATTAGCAGGGGAAGACCTTAGTTCACCTCATCCAAGGATTGAGATAGTTCGTGGAAGTGGAGCTCCAGTACATGCTCTAGTTGTTGAGGTTGCCATAGCTATGGCCTCAGGTGTTCAACCTATTCCACTTCCAAGTGGCTTAGGTGGTGCCTATGCTTTTTGTAACCAAAGTGGTAACAATATTGCCGTAGCAAAGCCAGTAGATGAAGAACCTTTAGCCTTTAATAATCCAAAAGGATCAGGGTGTCAAATGCTGGGCCTACCTGGTTTGAAGGGCTCAATTCGGATTGGTGAAACTGGAATCCGAGAATTAGCTGCTTATCTTCTTGATCATGGAGGCTTTGCTGGTGTGCCTCCTACTGCTTTAGTAAAATTCTATAATGCTGCATTCTCTGTTACTACAGATGCAGCCACAGTTTCTGCTGTGCCTAAACTTGCCTCACTCCAACGCTTTATTGGTCATGGTTTTGATGCAGGAGAATTAGGTCCTTCTTTCTTTTCTGTTGATTCTGTTCACCAGATTGGGATTCTAGACATTAGACTTCTGAACCTTGACAGACATGCTGGGAATATGCTTGTAATGAAACATGACCACAATAGTTATGTTCATGGAGTTGCTGATCTTGTTCCCATTGATCATGGATTTTGCCTCCCTGAGTGGCTTGATGATCCATATTTTGAGTGGCTGCATTGGCCACAAGCATCCATTCCTTTCTCTGACTCAGAATTTGAGTATATTTCAAAACTTGATCCATTTAGAGATGCAGAAATTCTAAGAACTGAGCTACCTTCATTGAGGGAGTCCTCTATTCGTGTTCTTATTGTTTGCACCATTTTCTTGAAGCAAGCTGCTGCTGCTGGTCTTTGTCTTGCTGATATAGGACAAATGATGACCAGGGAATTTTGTGGTGGTGAAGAATCACCAAGTGAACTGGAAAATACTTGTTTGAAAGTCAGGGCTAGCATCCCTCATGTTTTCAGAAATGAAGAAACTGAAGAAGGGTCTGATTGTGGAATTGGTGGCATTTCTTTGGGAGACATGAACCAAGGTGAATGGGAATATTTTTTGGAGATTTTTAATAAGCTTTTGCCTGCAGTTTTTGAGGATAAGAAGTGCAAGAATTGAAGCAAAAGTTGGAACATCATGGAAGTTGATGAATATGTTTTTAGGAAGATAAGTAACCAAAACTAGAGATGAATCACTGTGGCTTGTAATTGTACATTAATGCCAAAAGATTCCTAGTGTAGGTTGTAGATATATAAGTCCCTTTATGACAAGGATGGAATAGCGATTGGTTAGCTGCTGATGCCATCCATTCCATTCTGCAACTTTTGTTTTTGTTCCATTTACCCTTCTTTGTCAAAATAGAGTTGTACAATATCTAAGTGGGTTTTTACCTCTGATTATGTAAATTTTTTATTTGGTGATTCAAATTGTAATCGGATGCATTCATTCCGTTAATTCTTACACAGTATACTAGTTGATGTTGCTTATATAATGCACATTACTTTTGTAATTGCACGCAAGATCCGATCTTAGTGTAATTGAGTCCACTACTTAAACATAATTGATCACTTAAAATTTTATGTCAGTACATCATTGTCCAAAAATAGCAAGATACTATGACCTGCCCACGAAACGTGCAGGTTAATTGATCATTATCATTTGGTTATTCATAAAGTATCACGCTTGTGAAAAAAAAACAGAAAAAAAAGGCTATGCCTACACCAAAAGCATGTGGTTTATTAGTTACAGGCCAGTTTTGTTAGAGTTTACTAGGAGTCTAGGACTTGGTTTAAACGTTAATAGCTACTCGTAATTAGTTCATCTTTGTGGCACGAAGATTTGAATTTCTATATTTGCCAATTAAATAGGTAGGTAATGATTATATTGTTAGTTGGAAGATCAAATAAGTAGGTAATATAACTTACCCAATTAAAATATAATAGAACAGTTTAATGTTTGGGAGTATACGAGACAACTTTATTACTTTTTGGATATGAGAATTGAACATATAATTTAATATAAATTATTTAAATTCATCACCACCGGATCAATCCTAATAAGCAAATGAAACTTAATTTTTCAAACTCCGCTAGCCGATGTGAGAATTTTGTTGATGGGTGATATGTAATTCTTTCCGAAAATTTTCAAAAAGGTTGAGCGGATCTTTCCTGACCCTAATAGGATATCGGTATCTAATCTCACTTAAATTTTTCATTAACCAAAAAAAAAACTTAAGTTTTTTCTTTCTTTATCTTCCCGTTATAGAGTCTCGATCATTTTTATGTGTGTGCTCTTTGGGAAAAAAACATTAGTTCTTAAAAAAGAAAAACCAAAAAATAAAGAGAAAATATAGTCTATTTTGAAAACTCAATTTAATACTGAGATAAAAATGTAAAAAAATTTGGTGTTAAAGGTGATTTATATAGTAATATCTATAACCTATAGAGAATTTTTTTTATAAATATTTTAAATATATATCAGCCAGCATGTGGGTAGAGATCTCCAACATAGTTATCAGTATCATACGATAGGCGATATGATTCATACAATACGATATAATTCACAAAAAAAATGATACGTATTGTGGAGTATATTTGAAAAGGGATTTGTATTAGACGATACAATATTGTATTGTACGATACAATACATATTATGTATCATTCAATACGAAAAATAAATCAAAATTTATAATTTTTAATATAAAAATAAAAATAAAAATAAAAATTTGATTTAGGATTTATATTAAAAAAATTATTAATAAAGAAAAATAAATAAATATTTGAATTATAATTGAAACTCAAAAATCAATCAGAAAAGTATGTATTAATAAAATAAATATGTGATACCATTAATCTTTTTTGATCTAATGACTATCAGATGAGATGTTAAATTTCAAATTTGATACCGGTATCAAAGGATCCTATCTCTTAAATAAATATATAATTATTTCTTATTATATTTCTATATGTTATGATTCGATATGATTCACGATATAAAAAATTATTCAATCGATATTGGATTATTCCCATAGCTATTAGCTATAGAATAGGGAATTCTATCTCTTATCTCTCTATTTTATGATTTTATTATCACTTGGGTTATTGCTTGTAAAAGCTATGACTATGAGTCCGTCCAAAACAATAATCATTATTTTTTTCTCATTTTAAATGACATAAGTTATGTTGTTTTAAGAGAGAGATAAACAAAATAGAAATCATGAAAGAGAGTAAGTGGATGATTTTTTAATTTAAATTTTAAATAAAAAAATAAAATTACGTGTCTATCTCTCTCTTAACATAACGTAAGTTTATGTCATTGTCATTTAAAAATGAGAAACATTTTTCTCTTCTTTATTATCAAAATGTCTAATTATTTATTCTTTCATCATTTAAAATTTCAAGGGACTTGCTGAATACCCTAAGGCCATTCTTGAAACGCAAGAAGCAGACACTCCATCGCTATCTCATCCTTCGCTGCTGCATAAACCGGTATCCATCTTAGTGTTATGGCTTGGCGTGTGTTTCTATTTTGTGTTTTATTGATTTGTTTATGTATTTTAAATGATTACTTATCCTTCGCTTTTGTATCCCTCTGTTTTGTGTTATATATTACTATTTTTGTGTGGTGTGTTTATATCTGTTGAATGTAGTTTGTTCATGGTAAGTTAGAAACCCTAACCTTCGCTTATAAAATCCCAATTGCATTTACTGGCAATGTGTGATAATTTTTTGCTTCAAGTTTTGTTTCCTTCTTGGCAATGTTTATACCTTAGGCAATGGGTGACATTGTTGATTGCTTATAATATGATATGATTGCTTCAAGTTAACTATGGTCCTTTTGTTCTAAAAGAAGCATAACACTATAGTGGGATTGGTAAAACCACAAATGCAAGTACTCCTTAAGTGTCTTAATTACTCATTATTATTTATTCCCCCCCCCCCCCCCCCACATTTTTTAACTTCTTGATATGGCAGTTTGTTTTTAAAATGATTATCGTATGCAGTCCTATTTGTGAAAAAATGCTCAAACTGGTATAAAAAGTTATAGGTACTGACTACTGTGAAACTATACATATTTAGAGAATAAAATACATTGATTTTCATACAGTCTTTTTGTGTTCTGAAAGGAAGACAAGAAGCAAAGCTAAATAGGTTCCAAGACTAGGACAATTCCAATTCTAAATTCCAGTAGTCATCCCTTAAGTATCTTGAGGTCCAAGATTCAGAACATGATATCCTTTCCCTCTTGCCACCGTATAAACTTAATCTGGGAAAGAAAACAAATAAACAGAGAATGAGACTTGGATAATTTTCAGTAGAAATCGCATATTTCATTACAATATCCTTTCTTCCTGTGATTTGTTGAACTCTGATGTTATAAACTAAAAGCATCTCATGGCAAGACAATTCAATCAGTACTTAAAGAAAGATTCTTGACATTCCCAGAATGTCTTGGTTGGCCAAACTTTGGAAATTCAGTCCCTATGTGTTAGTATTCAGACTCAGTTTGACTTTACCCACAGCCAAACTAGAAGTATCCTAAGTTTTCTAAGATTGTGAGTTGCACTTTCTCCACCACCATAATTGAAGAATCCGGAAGTGGTATTTTAGAAGTAGATGAGTTGTATCTTTATCACCATGATGTACCCTTATCTCTATGAGTTGTAAAATTTATCCTTAGAAGCTTTATTGTATTATGAAATTAAAAAAGGATTTTGGCAGCATGTCGGTGTGCCCATTTATAAATAGGGACACCTTGTGTCATTGTATGTATGTGTGAAAAATCAATTGTTTTGAGTAAGTAATACTGAAGTTTTGAAGTAGGAGAGAAAAGAAAGGGAGTATTTTTGTGAGTAGAAGAAATATAAGGGTGTGTCAATTTTAATTTTTACATTTCCAACACTCTGGAGTCCAAATTTCCCTAGCATGCAACCTTTGTCTGCCACGTTACTCTACACTAGGCCAACTTTTGATTGGTCAGTCTTTTCCAAAGGATTCCAGCCTTTTCCTTGCATGTTCAACATGCAATCTCTTATCAGTGATTCTCATACGCTATCGTAGCAATTTCTCATTCAAATGCACATGCAATGAAAGAAAGGGTCTAAGACTAACATATTATATCATGCATGCAACATAGACATGGGTTTCTATCAGATTATGTATACAAAGGATAAGTGCCTCCTGCAATATTAAACTAGTGATTGAAACACTAATCCTCGCGGGAACGATACATTATTCATTACTTTATTACTTGTACGACTGGTATACTTGCGAGTTAGCAACAAGTTTTTGGCGCTGTTGTCAGAGATTAGTTTTTATTTCAACATTAGTAGTAGCTATAGACATTTTATATTGGATTTTTTATTTTTCCTTTATTTTCCTTTATTTTTATTCAGTTTTTTTTTTTTTTTTACTTAAGCATTATATTTCTAGTTTATGCAAGATACCATTGACGCCGATTTTTTGCAGTTTGATCCAGAGATAAAGAAAACAACTTAAAGATATAGGAAGCTTGCTATAGAAAAGAGACAACAAGCATCAAGCTCTAATATAGTGGAAGAAGAACTGATGGCTGAAAGAGAATCGCCACCTCCATGTAGAACCTTGGGAGATTATTTTACTCCTGTTGCTAGATCTACAATGAGCATCGTGATGCCACCAGTTGCAGCCAATAATTTCGAGATTAAGCCAGCCCTAGTGCGATTGGTTCAACATGATCAATTTGGGGGAGGAGTCACGGAAGATCCGTATCTCCACATTGATAATTTTCTCCTGCTGTGTGATACTTTTAAATTGAATGGAGTCTCTGATGACGCTATTCGGTTGAGGTTGTTCCCTTTTTCATTGAGGGACAAGGCAAAGAGCTGGTTATACTCACTACCTCAAGGAAGCATCACCACTTGGGAGGATCTAATTACAAAATTTCTATCTAAATTCTTCCCTTGGTTCAAGTACTATGAGTTGAAGGCAGAGATCTCTTGTTTTTCTCAGAAAGAGAATGAGCCCTTATATGAAGCATGGGAAAGATTCAAAGAGCTACTTAGAAGATGTCGCCAACATGGGTTGGAGGATTGGGAACAGGTTGAAATCTTCTTCAATGGGATGACTCCATCTTCTCGAATGATAATTAATGTCTCAGCAGGAGGTTCACTGAAATTCAAGACTCCAAAGGAATCCCTAGAATTGTTCGAAGCAATGGCCTCAGATGAGTATGAAAGTGTTTCAATGCAGCCAAAGAAGGAAATGATGCAGTTGGAAGCCTATGATGTAATACTAGCACAAAATAAGCTCATGAGTCAACAACTTGATGCCATCACAAAGCAACTGGAAGCATCTCGTATTTTTGCAGTTAATTCTCAACCACCTGTCTGTGATATGTGTGGTGGTGGTCATGCAAATGGTGATTGTGAAGCTTCTGGAGCATCAAAGTCGGCTCAAGCAAACTATATGGGGAATGCTCCAAGAAATCAAAACAACCTATACAACAATACATACAATTCTGGGTGGAGTAATTATCCAAGTCTTTCATACAAGCCACAACAACAGCAGATGCAACAAGGTTCTTCCTCTAACTTGGAAAATGCACTCTTGCAACCGACTCAGGAGACACAATCTTTTATGCAACAAACCCAATCTTCGTTCAAGAACCAAGAAACATCAATACATAGCCCTGATCTCTCATTCTCTATATCTCATTTTCTGCCTGCGAAATCAGCATCGATGTCTATATACACTAAAGAAGTTCGTTGCTACTGCCAGTCCCCTAGCAACTCACACTATGAACACGATGTAGCCTTCAACAACGATGTGGTCCTAACATGTACAATCACAAACTCGCAGTTTGTGGTGGATGAGTGGATCTCCAAAACAAAATCTAGTCACCCCTTTGTGGTCCAGCCCCTCTTGGTTGGCCTTGATACGGAGTGGCGTCCATTTGGCCGCAACAACCCGGTCGCCACTTTGCAACTATGTGTTGGCCATCGTTGCCTGATCTTCCAACTTCTCTATGCCTTGGATGTTCCTTGGTCGCTTAGGGAATTTCTGTGTGATTCTAGTAACACTTTCGTGGGTGTTGGAGTTGATAATGATGCGCAGAAGCTAATGAATAACTATGGTTTGAAAGTATCTACTACCGTGGATCTTGCTAGGTTGGCAAGAACAAGATTGCGGTTGATGAATGGGAACAGCCTGGGGCTGAAGTTTTTGGCTTATCAGGTTCTTGGTGTGGATATTGAGAAGCCCAAGAATATTACTTTGAGTTGCTGGGATGATCGGTGGCTTTCTGATGAACAGGTGCAGTATGCTTCTATTGATGCCTATGTTTCTTTTGAGATCGGAAGGGTTTGGAGGGCGTGGGAAGAATCACAATGGTTTTGGACGATGTAAATGGACGATTGAGGTTTTCTTGTCCACATGCAGCATGATCATGACTTTTTTAAATTGCTAGTGATGGCAGATACATATTTGCTTTTGTTATTTGTAGAAAAACTTGTGATGCTCAGCTAAGACTTTTTAGATGCAACATTTTAAAGTCACACACACACACACACATATATACATATATGGGATAGGATCTATTGATACCGGTGTCAAATTTTGAAATTTGACACCAAGTCCTAACCGTTGATTTCCGCCAATCAACGGTTATCATTTATTGAGAATTAATGATTAATTAATAAGTGTAACTCTCAATAAATGATAACCGTTGATTGGCGGAAATCAACGGTTAGGATTTGGTGTCAAATTTCAAAGTTTGACACCGGTGTCAAAGGATCCTGCCTCTATATATATAAGGTAGGATCCTTTGACACCAGTGTCAAATTTCAAATTTGACATCTCATTTGATAGCCATTAGATAAAAAAAGATCAATGGTATGACATGCTTACAAATTAGAGTCGTTGATATTTTTTGATCTAACGGCTCTCAGATGAGATGTCAAATTTGAAATTTGACACTGGTGTCAAAGGATCCTACCTATATATATATATATATATATATATATATATATATATATATATATATGATCATTTGACACCGGTGTCAAATATTAAAATTTGACATCAAATTCTGAGTGTTGATTTTCGCTAATCAACGATTATTATTTATTGAGAATTAAAAAAATAATTAATAAGTTTGATTCCTAAATAAATGATAACCGTTGATTGACGGAAATCAATAGTTAGAATTTGGTGTCAAATTTTAAAATTTGACACCTATATGGAATTAATACATTCGAGACAGACGAATATGTTAGTATGATGTATATTTAATTGGAAAGTACATAAGTTTTCAATTTATTATAAGGGAGAATTCCTCTTCCTAGTAATTCTATAGGTAAGGGATTCTTATTTATCAATTGTTAGGGAGGACGCTATTCTTTCATATAAAAAAAAGGGTATTGGTTTTCTCAGTGCAGATAAGTTATTCCCGAAGATACAGAAAAATGCGGATTTCACCATTTTTTTTTTTATAAAAAAAAAATTGGCGCAAAAGTTCATATGAATATGACATAAGAGAACAATTTGTGGCAAAATGAGAAAAAGATTTCCGAAAAAAAATAATTATATTTTCAGTACTGCATGACTTTTTAGAGTTACAGGAGTACACCTATTTAAATTATATCATATGAACTCAAGAAGCATTAGAAATGAAGAAGTTGCTAAGAAAATGGTTCTAAATGCAGTTAGGTGACTGTACAAGGGTAGGACAGAAAATTCATGAAGGGTATGTTAATAGCTCTACTCTACGTAATCTGCTGCATGGAATAAAGTGCAACTAATTTCTCATAGTTTCTTGCAAAAAGTCTTGGTTAAATGTAAGTTAATGGCTCTCGCAAGAATGCACGCAGGGCTAGTTTAGCTGTCTTCAGCGATGCCGTGAGTTCGGGTCTGTCAGGCTTCTTTGGTACGCCAGATTTTTTGAAATTTTCGAGAAATTGAATTTTTTTAAATTTTTAATTTTAAAGTATTATCGTAAATTGAACGTAAAAATTATATTTTTAAAAATTGAAATTCCTGGATAAAAAAATTTCTCTTCTGCCACCAAACGCTCCGCATGCCAGCCACAATGTTGATAACACTCTATATTGCTGGGGAGAAAGTGTTGACCAGATTTTTGGTTGAAGACTTAAACGTAATATTCCTTTTGCGCGGTCATTTTGCCACAATGTTCACTCCTACAGGGATAAACACGATGACAAGTTAGCTTCACTTATGGCATCCCAGCCCAGGTGCTCGGCAGTGAAGCTAGAGAGGGGTTACTGCCCCCTTTCAAGTTCTTTCAAGCTCATCCTCAGAGCTTTCATCCTTATTGCTTCTCATGCATGAAGAAAACTTGGAGTGTTCTTCAAATCTTGCTTAAATTAATGTAAATTTTGCTTTCTTTGTTTCTTCTCACAAAATTTTATGTTCCGTCATTGTTAAAATGCCGTGAACATTTGGTGCAAGATATGATGCAGCTGGTGCATATATATACTCTGTTCTAAAGAAAAACTGTGTTTAACTAATGCATATGATCTTATCAAAGAAATAATTAGGAGTCTTACATTAAGCATTATACTTATCATCACTTTCATAAAATAATATGTCGTATGATATACGATACGGTATCATATCGTCCAATACAACTCTTTTTTCAATGGGAAATGATACTCTCATGCAACATAAGATACCTATCTCACGTTATACACTCATAGAATTTTGTGCCAATTTTTTCTTTTCTTTTTTCTTTTCATTTTAAATTATAGACTCCACATATTTGTATCACCCACGAGATAGTATTCTCATGTAACATAAGATTAATAAACCCCTTTTTCAATATATCACATCGGTACGTATCATTACGCTTATGAATCATTAAGATACTTATAATAACTATGCACCCCACCTTAATTGGATGTCATAATTGTCATCATTGCCATCTTCTTTTTCATTTACTTCATATGGGGGGTAAATTGGATAATTCATATATATATTTTTTTGAATCACACATTTCATATAATTTCAAACCGCGTTTAAGTTGCTTTTGATGAAGAAAAAAAAAATTACAGTTAGAAGTAAGTGATAAAATAAAAACAAATTTCATTGTTTAAATTTTTTTTTTTTTTGGGTACATAGGGTATTTAAACTTTATCCTTAAGATAAATAGGTAATGATTGAAACATGTTATGATAGTATATTATGTATTTTTTATTTATATACTTTTGAATTAGATAATATTAACGTAAATAAAAAAATCTATCTCCTTTACCCTTTTTGTTTAAAACTCTCAGTTCCAAATAAACCCTTGGTGGTTTAGGTTTTTCTTAGAGAATTTTGTCAAGCATATTCGAATTAAAAAAAATGATAAAAAGAAAGTTTACAATACAAAACAAAAACTGAAAATTTATGAGAGAAATGAGATTTGGGTTGGTTGTAATAGGATTTTAGTTTTTCTATGTCACTCTTTTAACTTTGTTGGTTTTTTCTCCTTATTCTTATGTTGTTTCACATGTTTTTTCTCCTTATTTAATTACAACATAGTGTGAAAATGACTATCTTAAAAGATAGTTATGTCAAAATGACTTATCTGACGTTGTCTTTGTTTTCTCCGTTTCCGGAAGTTTTTCTAAACATTTTGGATGCGTACGACAGATATGAATCATAATCAATCTTAGTAATTAAATCAAGGGAAATTATAAATTCATTTATCATGTTACACTTACATATACATAAAAAGATGTGTGTTTTTTTTTTTTTAAATTAGTGAGTCCCATTTTATTTGTCTCATAACAAAAATATATGAGAAAAAAAGCCCTTAAATCAATCAGGAGATTCAGGACAAAAATTATGGTAAATACCAAATGATAATAGTTCAGTTAATATCAAAGAACTGAGCAGGTAGAGATGAGAACATATGTTCGATCCTCTCCGATATTGTCTTTGAAAGTTGTTTAAAACTTTAATTCCGAAACCTGCTAAAAACGAACTAGTCACGATAAATCGATTGAAATATTAAAAAAAAAAACTGCGCTAAGCGACCAATATTACATCAGGGAAAATTTAAGGTTATTATTATAATAATATTTTTTCTTTTTATAATATTTTTTTTGGTAGATAAAAGTTTAAGCGGAGTTAGACACTGGGATCCCACTATGGTCAAGGAAGACTCTCTAATCTCTTTAAAGATTTCTGGGAGAGATTACATATCACCCTCAACCTCTTTTTATAATATTTTGATGATGGGTAGTTGGGTACTGCTCGTAGTCAAACTTATTCAAAACTTTCTTCACTTCCCATATTGTACTTTTGGTTATTCAAAACATTAGTCTTCCAAACTATAAAAATGCCTTTAATAAATACGCAATTAATTATTTTTTATGGGTTGATGGTGGTGCACATCATTAATCTTTGATACACATGTACATGACACTATCCCATTTAATGTTTTACATATAATGGATCATCTCATGTAAAATTTCAAATGAGAGGTGTCTATTTTTTTATTTATTAACATTGACAGATTATTATTTGACTCAACTTATTTACTGCATGTGGGAGAGAGATAAAAAAAAAGTTTCAAATAACTTGGTCATGACGTGATTATTTTATTTATTTATTTGGGTGATTGGTCATGTGAATTTTTTATTTTGAGAGGATCCACTCCCATATCATTTTATATTTGTGAAAAAAGAATGATGCTTTACAAATTTAGCTCTTTAATGGTGGAGGTTACATTTTAGAAGATAAATAAATTTAGGTTTGTTAAAGTGATGGGTATATTTTAGAGGGTAAAATGAAGATTTATTAAACAACCATTAGTTAGAAAATTACCTTTAGTTAGAAAATTAACTGTTAGAATTGTGATAAAATATATATGTGCATATAATAAATTATGAAGTTGTTATACTCTTTTAATTTTCTAATTAATGGTTATAATTCCAAAATATATCTTCTGAAGTGCACCCCATCTTAATTAGAGGAACTAAATCCATGCTCTCTAGCTATGTAATATTTTACCTGATTTTTGTTTTGTTTTGGTAAAAGTGATTTATATTTCTTTTATTCCACTACATATATTCATTTATTAATCTTTGTCCCTTTTCAAGTCTTCTTCAAATTTGAGATAACCATAATAATAAATTGCAATATTTAAGTCAAAATTGCAGCTGTTGATGATAAAATAAGAAAGATTAAATTTAATTACCGAAAAAAATAATCATTAGGATTAGGATATTTGCACCTAGACACACAATAATTGTTAAATTATAATTTCAACTATATATATATATATATATATTTGTAATAGAGACTTTAAGGGCATTACTGATGATATTGAAAACCTAACACACTATTCGATTTTGATAAAATGGGGTTGATAGTTCAGATTTTTTTTTTTATGACATAATTCTTTAGATTTATTTATTTTCTTGGTTCTAGCTAGTCTTTTAGTCCGCTGACGTTTTTTTTTTTGTTTTTTTCCTTTTTGAAAATGGACGTTTAGATTTTATTTTATATATGTTTTTAGTTAGTATTTTATAATGTTCTAATAATAAATTTTATTATTACATACTTAACTAATTAAAATGAAATGGTATAGATACATTTGATATATGAATTCTAAATATTCTAATTATGATAAATTATATTAAAAAACATTGATAGTATTCTTTAAAATTAAATAATATAACAAATTATACCATTTTCAAAAATTTATGTAGATAATGGATGGATGGAGATTCATCCATTAACTTAAATGGTTCAATATTATGTTTAAGAATATATAATAATGGATGGAGATTCAAAGAGAATTAAAAATTGACAAATTATTGAAGGCAAATATAGCATAAGTCAACTTTAATATATGGCATGGATATGATGTTAAATTGCAAGAAGGCGTTTAGTTTCCATGTACTATCAAAGCCACCTGCTAGATTTTATGGTTGTAAATTTGTAGTAGTATATTTGACTCAAAGAACGAGAAGTATGAATACATTATAATTCAATGTGTATTCTAGACGCTTAATTATGGTACCAATGAGATATATATGTCAAGTTGTTAGGATTGATATAGTTGAATATTTATAACTATAATACTAAACATGGGATTAATTATCTCAATATTTCTTCCTTTTCGATTGGAAGATAAACAATTAATAATTAATGAATCGAAAAGTCGCTTTGTTTCATTTAGACCATATTTGTTAGGTGTTAACATGGTCTGCACTTGACCATTTTGACCAGCTTAGCTTATTGTTCACTTCCTCACGTGAACAACTCATGTGAATGAAAGGGGAATATGAAATTAAATTACATCAAACTAATTACCATTTCATTCTAAATATAAACTTTTATTTATAATAAGCATTTGAAACATTAAATGTTATTCTTAGAAAGAAAATCAATAAATAGAAATAAATCAAACTCAACTTATTTGTTCGAATCAAATTTTGAATAGAAGTCTTCGCAATTTTTTTTTTTTTTTTGAATAAAAGTCATATATTAAATATTCATAGTGATAATTATGTCTTTAGTTTAGTCTCTAAAAAACAAGAAAAGCCCACAAGTCAAAAATGAGCTTTTTTGCAATAAATTTTTCTTCTAGTTAACATTGTTTGGTTGACTTGCCAGTTTTTAATTGAAAAAATAAGGAGTGAATAAGGCCTTAATTGATTTGATTTAGTTCTTAACAAAAATTAAAGAAACATATTAAAATGACTAACTCCATATGAAATTTATAAATTTAAAATATAATTCAAATGAAGTAAATTCTAGTTAACAGTGTTTGATTGTTTTTCCATTTTTTAATTGAAAAAAATAAGGTGTAAATAAGGCCTTAATTGACTTGATTTAGTTCTTAATAAAAATTAAAGCAACATATTAAAACGACTAACTTCATATGAAATTTATAAATTTAAAATATAATTCAAATGAAGTCAAACCCAGTTAACACTGTTTGGTTGACTTGCCAGTTTTTAATTGAAAAAAAATAAGGATTAAACAAGTAACTTAGTCGCTAAAATTATCATTAACTTGGACTCGGTCGATTAAATTTAATGTGTATGAATTGATCCTTAAATTTACAAAGCGCATTTCAATTTAGTTCTTCTTAAAAATTAAAGTCGGATATTAAAATGACTATCTTGATATGAAATTTATAAACTTGAATAAAAAATCGATACACATAATAAATAAAATTAAGGAACAAGGAGCAAGAGAGAAGAATAATCTGAAAAGACCATGTTTCCAATTTGCTTGATAAACCAGACAATGTTTAAAGACATACAAAGATTTGATTCCTTGTTTGAGACAAACATTCTTTCTTGAAAGTAAACCAACACTAAGACAAACACCAATGAAAGTAACAAAACAATAAAACGATAAAATGAAACGACATATATAGATCAGAGAGAGACTATGGAAACGTTTATTCAGAATAAGCCTAATGCCTAAGCTAGAGACACATGGCTTCAAAGGTTCAGGGTCAAATCGATTTCCTCAGGGGATGAAAGCTGAGTTGACACACTAGGGTTTCCCTGAAGGCCTCCAACACGAACACGAGCACGAGCACGAGCACGAGAATTTTTAGCCGCAGCAGCAGCAGCACTCTCAGCAAGTGAAGGAATGCGATTGAGCCCATTGAAAAGTCCCACATGGTTCAATCTCTGTGAACTTGTTGCAGAACCTTCACCCCATGAACTTGTCATTCCAAAACGGTGTGTTGGGATGAGGGGAGCGTAGGGTTGGTGATGCAGCCCTTGGTTAGTGTTGCCATAGCCAACTGGTCTAATAGGCCAAGATATGTTGTTAGGCATGTGTGGTACTGATGGGGCCATGGGGTAGTGTGGGTGCATTTGTGGTGCACCATGATAATAGGGTGAGTGTGACCCTTGGTAGGGTATATTATTATTTGCCATGCCTGAATATGGATAAAATTGATTAGGTAATTGATTAGGGTTTGCAGGTGCAAACCCGCCAAAGGTGTTCATATCTTGTTCTTTTTCCATTTTTGAGATGTTTCTCTCACGTCTATGAGCGTTTTGGTGTCCACCAAGGGCTTGAGAGCTTGGGAACTTCTTGTCGCAGTATTTGCAAGAGAATTGACGTTGGTCATTCTCTTCTTGTGCTTCCTTATCATTCAAGGGTTCTGGTTCCGCAGGTTTTGGTGAAGAACCTGCGTCGTCAGAACCCTTCAAGGGTTTGGAAATGAGCTTGTTGGATGAAGAATCATCCTTCGTGGTGTTGTTGCCAAGCCTCAGCGTCAGTAATTGCTCCAAATCTTCCTTCAAAGTAGGTGGCTCCTCCTCCATCTTGCGCTTGAATTTTCTGTCCTCAACATCTCCAATAGTCATTTTGTCTGACATATTGTTGAGAGACCTTCTTTGCCACAAAAGAAAACAATGGGTATTTGCAAAGAAAGTTGTGTGGTTTTGTGAGAATAGGGGAGGGGTATTTATTAAGAGATTGGTGAAATTGCATCTTCCATAGAAGGAAATATATGTCGGGCAAAGCACGAAGGGGCTAGACAAGGTAACAAACTTAAAAGGAAAAGAGAGAGTGGACGAGTCACGCATGGGCGATAGTTTTGGAAGATGCAGTGAATTATTACAACTATTATATATTATTATACCCTATATGAAGATTGAGATAAAATTATGTGGTAGCACACATAAAAGTGAGTTGAACCATGTACGAAGAAGATAAAAAAGGAGAAAAATTGGGTCTATATAATTTTATGTGTGTGTAGAAGATAATTTTATTTCAAACAACTTGAAAATATGTAAATCCATATATATAAGGGAAATTATATTTACAACCTTTTGTTTTCTTACAAATATTTTTATTATTGTTGCATCAAATTAAATCAACAGTTATACAATAAAAATAATTAAGAGCTGCTGATTTGATTTTGATATAACAATAATAAAATGATTGTAAAAAGTTGTAAAGTAAAAAAATGTTATAAATATAACCTACCTCTCTCTATATATATACCCAAGAATTTTGTGGACTAAATATATATACCCAAGAATTTTGTGGACTAAGATTTTGTTTCTTATTGTTTTAAAATTGATATTTCATACTCAAATTAGTATCAGATTGTTCTGATTTCATATGGTTTGCAAACTAACAAGTATAATCCTTGCTGCAGGTTGATGGCTAGGATAAATTCTATTAGAGTAAATAAAGTATATAGAAACTTTAGCCGAAAAATTGAAGCCAGTTAGCAATACTATAAACTTTGACCTTTATGCGCTCATAATGGTAGTAAACAGTTGTAAAAACTGTGCTGTGGTAATATAAGTCACAGCCAGTTATACCTTTTATTCTTCAATCGATATAGTGAACCCTTTAATCGAGATATATATATACTAGATGGCCAGGAGACAAATAGGTTCGAGAAAATCATATCATATGCAATATAACATATTGATTAATTGCGTTTGTAAAATTATTTTCAACACTACAGTGGTTCTGCGAAGCAATTTTTAGGTGGTTCTAGAAAGTGCTTGTGACTTGGTCTATTAAGTCATAGAAAAATGATGGGAAAGATAATATGATTTTTAATTAGTAATAACAGCATACTGAGATGCTAATTTGATCCTTCATAAGTTTAATATCATATAATAATTTAAATGATGTCAATTTAATCCTATAATCTTTCGACTAAATTATATATGATAATATTTGGACTAAAAGGTGACTATATATCATCTCATCCATAATAAAGAAGAACTGAAGTTACTAATAATCGGTTTTGGTGGTAAGAACATTAATTCCGTTTTGGTGCAATAGATGGTTAACTTCTGACGTGATTCTTAAAACTGTTGCTACTATAGTTCTATTCCTAATAATCTTTTGGATATTCCTGAACTGAAGATTTCGTGCATCCAAATGATAGTTGTTTGGAACTTGGAAGTGAGACTTGTTCAAGAACCTTATTCCTGAAAATGTATATCATAAAATAGAGCTAATGCTGATGACAATGTGATGTGTTAGTCTTACACTGGTCATTGAATGTTCACGAGGTCTTCTTACCAAGTGTTAAAAATAGAGCATGCACTTTGGCTTATTTTGAAGAATATAAATGAGCTAGCTTTTGAAGGGAGCTAGGTAAATATTCAAGGATATTATTATGCTTTCACATTCTTAATAAAGCAACTATGATGGAGTAAGCCTTGCAGTATATACTCTATCAAAGTGGTATGCGAATGGTTGTGATCTTTAGTTAATCTTATTTGTATTATATAAATGATTAAAGGATTTTTTTTTTTTTTTTTTGGATTTTGATATAATTAAGTAACAGTGTTGTTCAGAATATTAACACATTCTCCATCTTATATTTGTATACTATTTAAGCAACATATTAACTGACATTCATTTTTTTATCTTCAAAACCTTTTTTAAAATATTTTTCATCTAATATTATTGAACAAATTAAAACAATTATTAAATACTTTTTAATAATATATACAATTATATTTGACTGCATTTTTTTATTGAAAATAGTCAAAATATCATTGTTTTGATACTAGTTTTTCTTACTATATTTATGGAAAATTAAGAGACAAAACTCAAAAATATTTTAATTTTCTAAAGATACATGTAAAATAAAACAAAACTTATTTCTAAAATGACATTTTGAAATGAAAGGAAATAAAACATTGACTAGAAAACATTGACCATAATGAGTGTACTTTTGACTGATTGTTAAGTAATTTGTCTTATACCAGAGCGTTTGACTAAACTAAAAAAATAATTTAGTTATATAACTTTTTAATTCTTTAAGCTATCATTTTTTAATTTAGTATTAAAATCATTTTTTATCTTTAGTTAAAAAAAAACTTATCTCACCATCTTAAAATTACTCAGGCGTGTTTTTTATTCAAAAATAATTTTTTCTTAAAAAAAGCTCTAACAAAATGGTCCTATATCCTTAGGAAATTGAATATTGTAATAATTATTTAAAAGGAAAAGTTATTCAATATCATTTTTTTAATCTAGAGTGAGATTAGAGTATTAATAATAATCACTATTAATGATTATAAATTTACCACACGTTTAATTTTTATGTAAGAACACGTTTCCAAATATATAGCTTGATTTAGTAATAATTAATAAAATTTATCCAGAAATTAAATTTCTGAAAAATAGTCAACGTAGCATGTGTGTAGATGGAAAAAGGAAAATATTATTTTCTGTAGTTTATATTTTTTTCATTTCATATTATTAATTAATTAAGAAGACTTAGATTACCTTCCCCTTGTACTTAAAACCTTAATATAACAATTTACCAAAAAAAAACCTTAATATAACAAGACTATATCTTTTTCTCTGGCACATATTTAGAAGTATTTTTGAAGAACTTTTATATTTTGGCGGTAGTAGGACATTCAAAAAATATAAAATAAAAGATTGGATTTGATATATATATATATATATATACACACACACACAATAATAATAATAATAATAATAATAATTTTTTTTTGGTATCCCAACAATAATAATTTTACCTATTGACTTATTTGCAATTCTGAAGTTCCCATTATTGCCTCAATATAATTTTTCCTATTATTTTATCTTTAAAAAATATACAATTATTGGTTGATACTTGATAGTAATGTCTATCAATAATCATAGAGCCGCACAAGGACACAAACTTAATTATATGTTTTATAAAATAAAGTATTTCAATGTATATGTTCAAACTAATTGATTAAAATGATTTAGAAAACAAAAAGGCCAAAAGCTAAAACTGGAATTAAGCGTTTCTTATAGCACCTGATCAGTCTCGCACAAATTATGTTTGTCTCTGTTTTTTGAAGTTATGGCTCTCATCAATTCAAGTTGTACACTCAATAATATGCATACGCGCGGGGACCAATATTATATCTACATACAAAATTTTAATTTATATAGTAAAATTACATTGAAAGAATTCATGCTTAGTAAAATATTGCTTTAAAAATTAATAATATTTCGAAATTACCAAATGTAATATCATCATGAGAGAAAAAATAACTTTATATATTATTTAGCATTAACTATTAATTTTATAAATTACTTTATTTTTGCTAAAGTTAATCTGAATTTATTTTTAAGAAAGTTATGGAAAAAGAATGAAATTTATATAGGTTAGGGTTTTTGACCATTATGCCCTGTAATTAATAAAAAATTACCACTTCGCCCCCGTTTATAAACTATTTAAAAAATTTAACATTTTCCTCAAACATAACATCAATCTGTCTCTGTTTGATCGCTCACTACATAGATACCCGAGTAGAGACCCAAATACTCGAATATATTTCGAGGATTGAAGTTGTTCATATGTTCCATGAGTGTATACTCGGGTAGTGACCCAGATACCCAGGTATTGAGTTATATACTCAAGTACCATACCCAAATACCCGGTATTCGTTGGCCAGAAACCCAATATTTGCGAGATTCGGTCTCATTTGTCATATACCCGGGTTTTGTTCTTGACATTGAGAAGGGTAAAATAATCGGTGGAATTTGCCGAAAAATTGGGAGAAATTGAAGGGAAGATGGGTTAGGGTTTCTCCTATCTGCAACTATACTCGGGCAGGGTAAGGGGGAAAAATGAGGGAGGAGATGATTTTTTAAAATCCCAAAACGCGAACTATACCCAAGGAAATAATTCAAAGAAAAATCCAGAATAAGAACAATACCCGGGTATTTCATTTATGTGCTCAAGTTGAGCCTTTTTTTTCGAAATATACTCGAATATGAATGCGAATACTCGGGTAGCTCACGCGGTCAACAGTCAACAATCAACTATGGGCAGATGGGTGATATGGTTTGGTAAGAGGATGAGATGGTAATTTTTTTAATTAAGGGGCACAATGATAAAAAAAACCAATTATTTATATCATAATAAAAGAAACTTCACATGTTAAAATAAATTAAAATGAAAATATATGCATTTCTTTTTTTTTTATACATTTATTTCTTTTTTTTGGTAATATTATTTCTTTTATTTTATTCATACATTCATGCACACATTGTCACAAATAAATAAAAATACAATTGAGTCATTTAATTATTATATTTTAAATATTATTTATTAAATGTATAAGATGAGAAATATGATAAATTAATTCATAGAGTACTAAAAAATCTTTAAGTCAAAAGTTTAATTAAAATAAATTGGCTATTTTTTTTCAAAGTAAAATAAGACTATTCAAGGTACCAAAAAAAAAAAAAAGACTAGATTACCAAAAAAAAAAAAAAAAACAAGACTATTCAAACACCTATGGAATATTTATACGTTATTTCATGCTTTTGTCACTAAATAAGCATGAAAATTGTAAAAGGGAGAAAATATGTT